ACCACATCTATCGAACTGTCAAAAAAATTAGGCACTTAGAATTCTAATCTCTCAAAAATTTGACCAGTGAATTTTATAATTACTTCAATTAACTTTTAACGATTGGGCAACTTTTTTAGGCAAGCGATAAAACAAGTACGTGTTTAATTTTGCATGCCTTTTTTCAATAATTTCACTAAAATTAAAATTTGGCCTTCAAAATTTTTTTGCTGTTAATTAAATTTTTTAAAATTCACTAATTTCTTGTAGATTCATTCGATCACACTACGAATCTAAAGTCTCTAACTCTAAAAGTCTATAGTTTACTAAATCATATTCATATTGATTGCCTTTGACTGTCCTAGAACCTAGATAATTTCATAATTTTTTAATTGTAATCATGATTAGAATAAATAAGATGATATAAAATATAATAATTTAATTAATTAACTCAATTTCAACAATCAATTAATATATAATAATAAACAAACTAATATAAATGAAAATGATCAAAAATTCTAAATATCTCTAATTTAATTTTGTAAAATAGCCCACCAATTCACCAACCAGTAGAAAACTACTCTGAAAATGTCCCGATCCCTGATTGGTCCATCAATTTTAAACTCCAACCTATCAAAGTTAGCTGATGAATGTAAACGGTTGCTACTGGCTGGTGCGGATTATTTACATCTGGACGTGATGGATGGCCATTTTGTACCTAACTTAACTTTTGGTCATCCCGTTGTGGCCTGCTTGAGGCCAAACTTTCCTGGGGTACTCTTCGACGTTCACATGATGGTTTCCAATCCAGAACAGGTTTTGTTTTTCATTCATCCTCTTTTTCTTATTCTTTCTCTCTTTCATTATATCTTAATTTTTATTCTTTATGAATGTTAAATAAATTAGATGTATTTTTTAATTATTTTTTTATTTTTCTTTTTTATTTTTCTCTTTTCCTCTTTTTCTCCCTCTCTCTTTCTCTCCTTACTGTTTCTTTTCTCTCTCTCTCTCATTTGGTTATTTATAAATATATTATAATATTTTATTTAATAATGATTTCTTTTTATTTTCTCATAGTGGGTAGAGCCAATGTCAAAAGCTGGGGCCAACTCATACACATTTCATGTAGAGGCAACGAACGATGTTCCTAACTGCATCAAATTAGTGAAAGAACACAAAATGAAGGTGATGATGATAGGGGTGTTGCTGATAATGATGGTTATTCTTGTTTTGGTGATGATAAGGATGATAAAAATAATAATGATGTTGGTGGTGGTAGTATTCATCCTTTCAACCAATCATCTAATCATTCATTCATTCATTCATTCATTTATTCATTCATTTATTCATTTATTCATCTATTTATTCATCTATTTATACATTCATTCATTCATTTACTCATTCATTCATCCAGGTAGGCATTGCAATCAAACCAAAAACACCTGTTGATTGCATATTGGAGTATTTGAATTGCGTCAATTTGGTTCTTGTTATGACAGTCGAGCCTGGTTTCGGAGGCCAAAAATTTATGGCAGACATGATGACTAAGGTTGTGATAATGATGATGGGATGATAATGACGATGATGTGCTGTTCATCATCATCATCATTACTAAAATTTTTATTATCATCATCATCGTCACAAAAATCGTAAATTTTGTCATAATCTTTACAGTTATTATCATCATCGTCGTCGTCATCATCATCGTCGTCATCATCATCATTCCTTTAAGGTCGAGAAGATAAGGTCGCTCGCACCCGACCTTGACATTCAAGTTGACGGTGGGGTCTGTCTGGATAATATTGAACTCTGCGCTAAGGTTCAATGATGATAGAGTTGTGATGTTGATAGCATTAATAAATTGCATAAACACGCACATACACACATACACACAAACAGTCACACATACTCAAGTACAGACACGTACACACGCACAAACACACGTACACACGCACATACACACAGTCCGGGGCCAATGTTATTGTATCTGGTAGCGCCCTTGTCAACAGTTCAGATCCACAATCCGCCATCCAAAACATGAAAACTGCTGTCGATAAAGAGATAGAGAGAATGAGAGAAAGAAAATGAATAACAATATTAATAAAAATAATAATAGAGCACATTACTTAGAAATTGTTTTAATTATTATTACTAATCTTGCCTTTCGTTAAAAATCATGCCTCAGTCGAAAATTGAATCGATTTATAAGAATTGAGCATTAGCATGTACCTTATTGTTTTATTAATATGTGTGTATGCGTGTATATATATATATATATATATATATATATATATATATATATATATATATATACGTCCTACCTCGGGAAACCGGGTCTCTGGACGCAAAACGAAGATTGATTGTATATATATATGTGTGTTTGTGGTGTGTGTGTGCTCCCTGGCCATTATTTTATCCAGAAAACAGCATTACCGATCGTTGCAGTATTGAGCGAATAAAATTCAACGAATAAAAATAAGTTTGTTAGTGTTTATTTCTTCAAAAAGTTGAGAATTTAATGATGAATCGTCAATAAGGAACCAATAAAATCAATATTTAATAATAAGTAATCGTCATGTATTGGGTTTAATTAATTTTTTTAGCGCTATTTAAATGAATTTATATAACGCAGTTTGATTTGTATAGCGCAGTTTGAATCGTTTAACGTCTTCCGAATCTTCCGCCTGTTCCCAATGGATCGTAATGTCTTTTCCCGTAAGTTGATAGCGAGTAGGGGGATTTTTTCTTATCGTCGTGTTGAACAATACTGCCTGTTTGTTTGTGTGTGTGTATGTATGTATGGGTGCTTTTGTGGTGTATGTATGTGTGTGTCTGTGTGAGTTTGCACGTGTGCGTGTGTCAGAATATTCGTCTGAGATTGAAAAGAAAATCTATTAACTAGTCAAACCAATCAACCAATTGAATAAAATCAAAGCATTGGATGAATATACGAACGTATGAATGGATGAATGTGTGTATGAATGTGTGAATGAATGAATGAATGTGTGAATGAATGAAATAATGAATGAATAAATGAATGAATAAATGAATGAATGATTGAATACACGAACGACAACATGCAAAAAGACAGAACAAACGAACCAATCATAAACATGGCTTTTTCTAGTGACCCGACAAGTGACTTAGCCGAGCTGAGCGCATCGTACAAATCCTCGATTAATAATTCAGCGCCATATGATGATGACGTAGATGATGACGTCAGCGAGTCCTGACCGAGCGTAACCCCAGCGGTTAGTGAAATTAGGAGGAGCAGGAGAAGGAGGAAACTGTTAGTTGTAGCCATGGTGATCGTTTGGACGATGATTGCGTCACAAAGATGGCAATGTGCTTTTAGTTTTTTCAACTTAAATCTGGGAATATTTTTTTACAGTATTCACTTATTCATTCGCTCACTCACTTAATGATTCGTTCATTTGTTAATTAATTAATTAATTCATTCATTCATTCATTCACATCAGTTTTAACTTTTTCACGAGAAGTTTAAAACTCAAATGTTTGATTTTATTAGGGAGTGATTTTAATTGAGTTAAATTTATTTATTTTATTTCATTTTATTTATTTATTTTTGCTTAGAAATATTTAAAATATTTCACCTAAATTAAATTTAAAATTTCTCTAAGATGATGTGATGTTTTAGATTTAATCTTTCATTTATCATCAAGCACAGGCACTGACACACACACACACACACACTCACACACAGACAGACATAGTTGTTATAATTGCTTTGACAGTTTGCGGATTTTAAAATTTAACCAAAAAAAAAACATTTTTTTCCTAAATCAACGTGTTAAAGAAAATTATTAAGACAGATTGATAGATAGGTTGATTGAAAGTTGGATGGATAAATCAAATAGGGGAATGAATGAAAAATGGATGAAAAACATGGTGGTGAGTGACAAAGTGAAAGAAATAGGAAAGAGAGAGAGAGAGAGAGAGAGAGAGGAGAAAGAGAGAGAGAGAGAAGCTGATTAAAACAAATACAAGATTTTCATTTTTTACCGTGCAAATAAAAATCTACAATTAGGAGAATAAGAACGACGAAGACGACGACTATGATGATGATGATGATAAAGAAGAAGAAGATGAAAAAAAAGAATATGATGATGGCGATTATAAGGATTACGATGATGGTGATCCGCGATAGACAGCGAACTAACTCACAAAAGATTAAAATTACGAATTAATAACTAGTTCATCATGACATTAAACGCGATTTAATCACGAATTCACAACCATATCATAGAATAAATTAGTACAGAACAGACCAAACCAACCAAACTAGAATCGAATAAAATAATCATTTAGTAAATCTATTATATTATTTCTTCTGAAAAATATAAGACTTTAGTTAATTTATATTATTTTAATTTCTTTTAAAGAGAAAAATGTTTCTCCAATCGACACACAAAGTCATCCATCTTATTCAGGGTTGAAATAAATGGTATTGGCACGGTCAAGTTTTACAATTTCAACAGCTGTCAAATACATTTTAACATTTTATTCCATTTCTTTTGCCCTTCTATATTTTTGACAGCATTTTTGTTATATTAGAATTACTACTACTACTGCTACTACTACTACTGCTGCTACTACTACTACTACTACCACTACTACTACTACTACTTATACTACCACCACCACTACTACTATACTACCACCACCACCACTACTACTACTACTACTACTAATACTACTACTACTACTACTACTAATAATAATAATAATAACAATAATGATATTACTAGTGGACTTAAAAAGATTCAAATACTCAAGTCTTACTACATAGCGATGTTTCAATTCTTATCTCCTTCTATCAACCTCCTTGTAGCAAGCCATCATTAAAATATATTGCCATCCATCTATATTCGTGAGGGTATAAATGTTGAGAGGTATGTCACTGGGGATAGAGAGAGAAAGAGAGAAAGAAAGAGTGAAAGAGAGAAAAAGAGAAAGAGAATAAAAAGTTGATAGAGAAAGAGAAAGAGAGAAAGAAAGGGTGAAAGAGAGAAAAAGAGAGAGAGAATAAAAAGTTGATAGAGAAAGAGAGAGAGAGAGAGAGATAAAGAGAGAGAGACAGAGAAAGATAACTCTTTTATCAGTGTCGTCATCGTTATGTTAATCAACGATGACGTCATTATCGTCACTCACAACCATCCTCATCATCATCATCATCAGCGTTCTTTTATCATTTATTTCAGCGAATCAAGTTAAAACTTCAAAGCCTTCCTCACTTAATTGATTGATTGATTTATATATTTATTCACTTAATACAAATACAGTTACGAATTTTTTTCTATTAAAAACATGCCAAGCGATACGAAACGTTTCGAAACGATACGATACTAGCACATACTGACACTTTATTACTATGATATTATTATTATCCTTACCCAAACTTATGTACATGCACTTACATACATAACCGTTGAAAATTGAAACTTAAACAAACGAATTTAATAAAACGACTATTTTTCTCTTCTCTCTCTTTCTCTCTCTCTATTTTTTTCTTTCTTTTTTATCGGTTTCTCTCCTTCGTTTCTCTCCAACTGATTCTTCTTACTTACGACGATGAATGGTCCTGCTTCTTGGTTTTGTTTTCCATTTCTACTCTTCCTCTTTCTTTCTCTCTCTATTTTACGTTCTTTATTTCTCCTTCAAATTCTCTCTCTCTCTCTTTCTCAAACTTTTTAATAGAAAAATCATTAATTCTTTCTTTCTTTTTGTCTTTCTCTTGTTTCCAATTCTTTCCTACTTTTTTCTCTCATAATATTTCAATATTTCAATCTCGTTTCCTCACTCCTCTCTCTGTTTCTCCCTCTTCTCTCTCTCTTTCTCTCTCTCTCTCTTTCTCTCTCTGGCTCATGAACTCATAACGAAGTTTTTTTTTGGAAAATCGAAACAAAAAATAATTTTGCGTGATGATGAAATAATGCAAACGAAAGAAGGAACGCTTGAAATTGGAAAAAATGAATTAAAATAATAAAAACAACAATAACAAAAGTAACAACAACAATAATAACAACAACAATAATAACAAACAGCAAGATGAAAATGAGATTGCATGCAAGATCTATGCCTAAATATGCTTTATTCGAAAAGGCAAAATTATCATTACTTTTATTACTGTCATTGTAATTATTATTATCATTATTATTGTTATTATTATTGTTATTGTTATTTTTATTGTTATTATTATTATTATTAATTTTTGATTTTTGGTACGAGTTTTTCCCCTAGCCCACTAATTGAACGGTCAAACAGGTCAGACTTATTTATCTAATTATCTCCAGCCACATGGCCTGCTCAGAAAAAAAATTATAGTCGTAATTTCTTTTCATAATTTCATGATTTTCTTATTCATAGTTTTGTATTAGAAAAGAAAAGAAGAGAGATACAGAGAGAGAAAGAGAGAGAGAGAGAGAGAGAGAGAGAGAGAGAGAGAGAGATGAAAAGAGATAAAGGAACAGACAAACAATCAAAGCGATATAGTGAGAAAGATGAAAAGTAGGAAAAACAGAAAGATAGGAACAAAAAAACGAATAAATGAAGGAATGAATAAATGAAGGAATGAATGAAAAGAAGATTAGAGAGAGAAAAAGAGAGAGAGAGAGAGAGAGATAGAAGGAAACCTGGAAAATCAAGAAGCGGAGGTGATAAAAAGATGTAGTCAATCCATGCAACGCTTTTTATGAGCACCCATCTATTCAAAAAAATTATGTACTTATGAATGATTTGCTTGTACATGTATGTGTGTGTACTTTTGTTTGTATATATGTTTGTGTGTATGTCAGTATGTAGGTATTTATGCATGTGTGTATATGAACATACATCGCACGTATTTATTTATGCATACGTATCAGGTATCAGAGTATATGTATACTGATTTGTATGCGTGGATGTTATCGCCATTGCATTGAAATATTTGTGTATGTGTGTGTTTGTGTTTGTGTGTGTGTGTAGATTAAGATTGTTTGACAGTGATGAAAATGTTGCGTAAGGCCTGATTGATCGGCTGATCTTAATTGAATATGTTTGTATTGTATGTATTGTATGTATGCATGTATGTATATATGTATGTATGTATGTTTGTATGTATCTTTTGTATGTGTGTTTGTATATATACGTGTAAACGCTTCTTTGCAATTCATTTGTTACTTTTAATTAATCTGTAATGATTTTATTTTCATGGTTGCACACCAATCTTCTTCTAGTTTTATTTTGTTTTTATTTATTCAACTCTCTTTCTCTCTCTTTCTCTCCCTCTTTCTTTCTCTCTCTCTAATCTTTCTCTTTTTTCTACACTCTTTTCTTCACTTTAATCTTTTCGTCTTTTCTCTCATTTTCATCATCCTTCACTCAATCGTTTCTTTTTTTTATTTGCAACTTCTATTTAGCCATTTTTTCAACGCTCTCTCCCTCTCCCTCTCTCTCTTTCTTTCTCTTTTTTACTCCCACTCACCCCAACTTATTTTATTTGTAATTCCTTTATTTCTATTTTTACCCGGAAAATTACTTCATATCTTGTAACGCCGTTATCAAATTATAGTGAAGAATAAATCAATTTTAAAAAAAATGTTGCCTCCTTTGAAATACTTATAGAAGAAAGGAATAAAAAAACGAAATAGTCGGAAAAAAGAAAGAGAGAAAGAGAGAGGGAGAGAGAGGGAAAAAAGAAAGAGAGAGAAAAAGAGAGTGAGATAGATCAAAGAAAAATGAACAGAGGTGTTTAATTAAATTCGATAATTTAATAAAATAGAAAATAGAAGGAGGGAATATGGAAAAAGGAGAAGAAAAATAAGGATACGAAATTGGAGGGAAAGAGAAAGAGGGGGTGTGAGGGGTAGAAAAGAGAGAGAGAGAGAGAGAAAGGAGAGCGAGAGGGGGGGAGGGCAGAAAAAAATCAGAGATCGTTATATAAGAAACAAGATAGATGGAAAAAAAGGTCTCGGAGTAAAGAAGCTAAAAGCGGTAAAGAACAAAAAACAGAAAAGAAATAAAAGAGAGAGACAGAAAAATAGAAAAAGAGAGGGAGAGAGGGAGAGAAAAAAAAGAAGAAAGAGAGAGAATGGTGATGAAAAGAAAAATGAGAAAGAAGAAATGATAGCGAACGCATGTAGGGATGTTGACAATGTAATTGCTTCAAGAAAGATTCTTTCATCTGATCTAATAAAATTTATTATGAAAAAGACAAATTATGATTGAAAGTAATAATAATAATAATAATAATAATAAATTGATAACTATTGTTTTTATTATTATTGTTATTAACGTTTTTATTGTTATTTTTATCTTATTTAATTTTTTTCATACATAATTATTTTCCTATATTAACAGCGGCCTAAGTGAAAAAAATTCAGAGAAAAGTTATACTAGTAGTAGTTTGTAGTAGCAGCAATTGTAACAGTAGTTGTAGTAGTAGTAGCTGCAGTAGTAATAGTAGTAGTAGCAGCAATAATAGCTGTCGCTCGCACTCAATGGAGTGTTATAAACCTTTTTGAAATAACTTTATATGTGCAACATGTACCTGCGATGTATGTGTGTGTGTATGTATGTATGTGTGTGTGTATGTATGTATGTATGTATGTATGTGTGTATGTATGTAGGTATGTATGTATGTATGTATGTATGTATGTATGTATGTATGTTTGTTTTTTGTATGTATGTATGTATGTATGTGTGTGTGTATGTACGTATGTAGTTTTTTTGTATGAATGTTTGTATGCATGTTTGTTTGTATCTATGTATATATATTTATATGTGTGTGTATATATTTATTATATATATATATATATATATATATATACAATTTCTATTTGATGGTCGTGTTAAATAAGTTATCAGTAAATATTATACTACAAGCACCATTAATATCACTACCATGGGCTCTATGTTGTTGTTGTTGTGTTGTTGATACGTCTGAGATTAGGAGAGAATTAATAATAATTATAAAATAATAATTTATAATAAATAATTAATTATAATAATTATTAAAGGAATGTTTATTTTTATTTTAATATTCTAGAAGATAATTTTCAGCCGATTGCTGCTAACAAAAAAGGCACAGCTCTCCCCTCATTGGCCAAAATTTTTTGCACAACGTAAAACTTTTGCCCTATTATTAATATCAATAATAACAATAATAATAACAATAATAATAATAATAATAATAATACTATCATTATAAGTAGTAGTAGTAGTAAAAAGAGTTTTAGTATCATTGATAGACGCGGTAGTTGTAGTTGTTGCGATAGTAGTAACAGCAGTGGTAGTAGTAGATACATTTTAGTAGTTAGAAAAACCTGACGCTTCTAATATTTATAATATAATAATAATAATTATTATTATTAATAGTATTATTATTATGATATAAAACTAACCTTGAAATTAGATAGATGTTGACAAGAGGATGACGATGATAACAAAAAAGAAATTTTTTTCAGCTAGAAAATGTTTTGAGATTATCTGAGAGCCATGTATGCTCCCGTATATATATACACACGGGGTGCGCGCGTTGGTGGCGGATAATTTATTCGAAGTTAAAAAAACACGGCGCTATAAAAATAAAAATTCGACGCTAGATAATTACGACGTAATGACACACCCACACATACTAAAACTAGACACTAACACACACACACACACACACACACACACACCACACAAACAAATATAAGGCATAAATATTTATTATTATAACTGAATTAAGAAAGATTAATGTTATTTTTTGGTCGAATCTAAAACTTCAACACCCAACAATTAACTTCATACATCACGTACAAACTCTATTTCTCACTTTCCTAATGTTTCTCAGTATTTACGTGCCATACGTGTCTAGGCAACTCTTTCCCTAACTAACAAATTAGTGAAATGGGGCAATAAAATCCTGCCGAACGACTTCAGGCTAACTAACCCCTCGTTATTTGTAACTATTTTTGCATCTCAGTTAGTGTAATTAGAATGTTTTATATACTTTTATGAAGATTGGTTTTTTTGAGGTTTGGAAAGAGAAAAATCTTAGAGTTCATGACATAAATTGTAAACTATGGTATACAAATTTAAATGCTTGTCTGTGCAATGGAGGTTCTTCCGTAGTGAGTGAAGAAGTTTCTGGAGAGTACACGCGCGCACATTTACACACACACACATCAATAAAACATGCACATACACAACATCCATTCATTCAGTGTCGTTGTTATGCTTCTCTTTAACTTTCCGTTTCTACTCTCTTTACCGAACTTTAGTTTAATTCGTAGGTAAGTTAGGGATTGAGATGAGTTGGACAATCGTAGGTAGGCTAGGGCTTAACAAAAAAATTTAAAAAATTATATTATACAAAAAAAGAAATTAAAAAGCGTTAAAATATGTAAGATAAAATACCTGAAACATGTAAAATTCCTAAAACTTAGAAATACAAATTGTAGATAGGTGAGATGAGCTCATCATTATAGGCAAGCTATAGGGCCTTGAGAGTAATTTAATTGTAGGTAGGTGACCGACTGACTACTATTCTTGCGACTTTTTTACTATTTTTTGTGATGTGTTTTCGCTTCACACCACCACACCAATAAAACTAATTTTTTCGTCGTCGCCTTAAGTTTTACCTTATTGAACATTCTTTTAAATGTCTATTAATTTATTAAATGTTGACTGGTTTCTAGTTTTTTTTAATTCATTTATATAATTTTTGATATTTTTTTATTTGCCTTGTATATATGCATGTATAAATAATTTCTGTTTGGTATGTTGATTTAGCCATTATGATACTTTGTTATAATAAACATAATAAACGTGTTATGTTAAGTGAATTATCCTTAAGCAATGTATTTAATAATACAAACAAAAACAAAAAATAAATAAATATTTTTTATTGGTCGATATTTCTTTATATTTGTTTGTTTAAACTTTTTAAAAAATTCTTTTTTTATTTTTAAATGACAACCGCTATTATACAGTTGTATTAGATCCGGTAAGCCACTGCAGTAAGCCAATGTATGATTTCAGCAACCAATTTCTATGATCACTAGAATGTAAAATATTTATTGAATATAATGAAGATAGCTGTCCAAATAACAATTTTGATCTATTCAGGCCGTTTATTTCATAATCAAACAAAAGCTTAACATGATCGAATAGGGTGAAAAACTGACTATAGCTCAATTTTAATAAGCCACCAGATTTTACAGGACGAAAAGCAATTTTTATATTTAAATTAACAAAAATAATTTAATAATAAATAATTTTTTTTAATAAAATTAAATAGAATTACTACATTGTTTTGAACATATTATGTAACTTCATAAGTAAGCCAATAAGCCAACAATCCAAGCCAGACGAATAGTCTGACCCTTACAAACGCAAGTTAAAAGTTAAGTATTTTCGTGTTTCATCAACGTCAGGCTTTCTTCATCGAGTTGGTGAAAATTAAATTAGTAAAAGTGTTATTTAATAAATAAATTCATTAGATTAATCATCGAATTTTCGATCGGTAGTTTGATTAATTGAAAATTTACTATTCTCAACTAGATCTTTGAAATTTTGAAGCCGTCCAGCAGTCAGCAGCATGCCGACTGTTAGTTTGAATAGGGACTATCTGTTCGCTATTCTCGGCAGAGTTTACAGTTAGTAATTTTTTATATTAAGATTTAATTTTCTATATATATATATGTATATATACACACACATACATATATATAATATATATACATATGTATATATATATATATATATATATATATATATATAAATATATGTATTGGATTAATTAATATTAAATTTAAATTAAAAGGCAGTCAGAAATGAAATTATTGATGAAAATCACAGCATTTACGTTGTACATGACTTGATTATACAATGTATAATATAATTTATATTATACATGCACATATAAGCCAGTTGACAATTAAACTTATTTTTGTTATTGCTTAGTTTAAAGGTTTAAAGATTTAAGAAGTACATTCCCTCTTAGAGGCTGCACCCATTTTATTTTTTATGTTCAGTCTTAGCCAGTAAGGATTGGCAGCAATTAGTAATTAGGGACTATCTTCTTTGGTATTATTTATGAAAAACTTATCTTTTTTGGTATTTTTTAAGACTTTCCTACGTTTCACACAATTTATTTTTATGTTCACTCTTCTTTATGCCTCAAATTCTAACTAGTTTAAAACAAGAGTTACAAGCAATTAATAATAAATAAATTAATTAAACAATATGTATGTGTGTGCTATTTATTATTTATTTGTTAATTTTTTTTTGTCAAATTGAAAAATAAATAGCTGAAGAAGAGTTCAATGATCTGTGCTTTGATTTTGGTCTGGAGTTAGATGAAGTGGTTGGTCTGATGTTTGGTATTTCATTTGTATTATATGTATTGTACTGTATTTATTGTTTGTATTGTATTGTATTTCTATTTGTATTCTATTGTATAGTATTGTTTATCAATTGTACTGTATTGTATTTTATTGTATTTCTATTTGTATTCTGTTGTATAGTATTGTTTATCCATTGTATTGTATTATAAATTTCTTTGATAAGTATAATTTAAAAAAAAACAAAGACATCAGAAAAAGAGATAATATCCAAAGAACAAGGAGCAGATAAGGCTAGAGATGCATCTGACAGTGTGATATACAAAATTGATGTACCTGCTAATAGGTTGGCTGGTTGATTTGTTGATTGATTGGTTGATTGATTGATTAATTGATTGACTGAGAAATTGATTGATTGTTTGATTGGTTGTTTGATTGATTGATTGATTGATTGGAGATAGCTGATTGGTTGGTTGGGAATAAGTGATTTACTGGTTGTCTGGTTGATTTATTGTTGAATAACCAGAAATTACTGATTGGTTGATTGATTAGAAATAGTCGATTGATTAATTGATTGGATTGATCAATTGATTGAATGAATGATTGATAGTTTGGTTAGAGATGATTGATTGATTGATTGATTAAAATCAAATTCATTTTAGGTACGACCTACTGTGTGTTGAAGGCTTAACAAGAGGATTGCTGATATTCCGAGAAAAGTAACCAATTTTTTATTTGTAATAATAATAATAATAATTGTGATATTAATAATAATAATTATTATTATAATTATTTTAATTATTATTATTATTATAAGGATGAAGGCCCCAATATATAAGAAAGTTAACCAAGGAGTTTTGCAGGAGTTGCATATTATGCAATCTGTTCGTTGATGTCGTTGTTGATGTTGTTGTTGTTGATGATGATGCTGGTGTTGTGAATGTTGATGTTGTGAATGTTAATGTTGTTGATAATGTGGTGTTGATGATGTTGTTGGTGTTGTGAATGTTGATGTTGTTGATAATGTTGTTGTTGATGATGTTGGTGTTGTGAATGTTAATGTTGATGTTGTTGATAATGTTGTTGATGTTCGTAATTAGTATATCATTATTATAATTACCAAAGACACTGAATGTAAGGCCTTACGCTGTTGCTGCCGTCTTGAGGGAAATCACCTTTACTAAGGTCAGTATCATCATCATCACTATCGCAATCATCATCTTCACAATCATCATCGTCATCTTCACGATCATCATCATCATCTTCTTTACGATCATCATCATCATAACCATCAGTATTATTACAATTGCTGCCATCATCTTAAAATGTTGATAATTATTTTCCGTATCAACTCATTCGTCATCATTATCTCGATCATCATCATCAATCATCGTCATCATCACAATCGTCATCATCAATCATCATCACGATCATCATCGTCACACTCATCATCATCATCATCGTTGTTAGGATATTTACCAGAGTTTCATGGATTTGCAGGACAAGCTCCATCAGAACATTGGAAGGTGAATGAGGCAGGCATATATGATGCATCAATTTTTGTTTTTGTCTCTCTCTCCCTCTCTCTATCTCTCTCCTCTTTCTTTTTTTTCTTTCTTTCTCTATCAAATTTCCAGGTTAATTATCTCTCTCTCTTTTTCCATCTCTTAAATTTTAACTAATCTTTCATTTCTTCCTTTCTCTTTTTTATTTTTTTCTCCCTCTTTGTCTCTCTCTCTATTCTTTTCTCACTATATGTTTTGTTTTTTTCCCATTCAGACAGAGGTCATTAGTTGCGATCGGTACACACGACCTCGACACAGTGCAAGGACCTTTCGTGTTTAGTGCAGATGCACCTAAGAGTATAAAGTTCAGGGCACTCAACCAGAGCAAGGAACTCAATGCCACTCAGCTTATGGATTTGTATTCGGTCTGTCGATTTTCTTTTTATTGTTATTATTATTGTTGTTGTTAGTAATAGTAATAGTAGTAGTAATTAAGTAGTAGTAGTAGTAGTAGTAGTAGTAGCTGTAGTAGTAATAGTAGTAGTGGTAATATGAATCGTGTGTATGTTTATTTATTGTTTTATATCTATATTGACGATTTGATAACTAAGTGACTTATTACGATGAAATAATCATTTAATTTATTAATTTATTCATAGACTGACAGCCATCTTAAGCACTACTTGCATATAATTAGAGATAAGCCCGCCTACCCTGTGATAAGAGACAACAAAGGGGTGGTCCTGTCCATGCCACCAATTATCAACGGTATGGACTGCTCATTTTTATTCATAAGCTCTACTAACGATGTGTATTTTGTCTCATTAATATTCATAAACTTTGCCAATTATGCCCTAATCATTTAGGTGACCATTCAAAGATTACACTGAACACGAAAAATGTCCTAATCGAATGCACGGCCACTGACTTGAACAAGGCAACGATCGTTCTTGACACCATTGTTTGTATGTTCAGTCAGTACTGCAAGCAGCAGTTCTGGTTGGTTGGTTGATTGGTTGGTTGATTGATTAGATGATTGGTTGGATGATTGGTTTATTGATTGATTTAAATTTTAATTATTTTAAAAGTGAATTTCAATTCATATTATAGCATCGAGCCGGTGAAAGTATTCGGTCAACCTGACTGTTGTGAACAACCTGCATTTTATCCTGTTTGTGTTTTGTTGTGTGTGTGTTTTTGTGTGTTGTGAGCGTGTGTGTGTCTATATTTGTTTATTATATAAGAGTGTATATGTATTATATATTTTCACGTTTATCTGATTGAATGACGGATTGAATGATTGATTGATTAATTGATTGATCGATTGATTGATTAATGGATTGATTGATTGATTGATTTAATTCTGAAATGTTCATTCTCCAGACTCTACTATATAGGAAGGAAGTTGTCAATGTCGATGACATCAACAAGACAATTGGAATAAAGTGATGAGTTTTTGTCATCAATGTCTTTTTTTGTTGATGTTGTTGTCAATGTTTTTGTTATCACTGCTGGTGTTGTTGTTGTTGTTGATTTTTCTGGCGTTTATAATAACAACGCATCGACCAATGAATGCCCACAATCCATGTTTGCATGACAATCCAACAGCCAATCAGATGAAAAATTAGCTTCGCTGCTTACGAAAATGAGCCTGTCGTCTCGAGTTATGGATGCCAGTGGAAAGTACATTGAGGTCGAAGTCCCGCCCACTCGACATGGTGATTGGTTGATTAAATGGTTGATTGATTAATTAATTGGTTGATTGATTGATCATATGACTGATGGGTGAATTAATTAGTTTGTTAGTTTTTGTAACTTATAGATCACTTGGCAGTTAGATCAGTTTGTTAGTTGATTGATTGGTTGGTTGATTGATTGATTGATCGATTGATTAAACATACACACATTCACATACACAAACATACACACACATAGGTACAGACTTACACACACATACATACATGCACACACACACATACACACGCATACATACAGATGTTATACATGCATGTGATATAATGGAAGACGTTGCAATTGCCTACGGTTACAACAACATTAAGCGAACAATTTCAAATACCAACTGTATTGCCGGACAGGTTTGTCGTGATGAAGACGATGCTAGTTATAGTACTATCATTTATTATTATTATAATTTATTATTATAATTTAATATTATCATTTATTATTTTTTTATTATTATTTAGTTTCCAATCAACAAATTGACTGACCTACTGAGAGAAAACATTGCTTTTGCCGGCTTTACAGAATGCCTTACTTTTGCTCTGGTTGGTTGGTTGGCTGGCTGGCTGCTTGATCGGTTAATTGATTGAGCCATTATTATTATTATTATTGTTGTTGGTATTATTCTTCTTCTTATTATTATTATTATTATCAGTGTTCTCGCGATGATGTCGGCGAAAAACTGCGAAAAAAAATTGAAGATATCCCAGCCGTCCACATCAGCAATCCTAAGACATTAGAGTTTCAGGTTTATTATTATTATTTATTGTTATTGTTATTATAATAATTGTTGTTATTGTTATCATTATCACCACCATCGTTACCTTTAATTTTATGTGGCTATTTTTATTTCTATTATTAGCTGACCAATCGCGATCTTTAAATTCATAACGCTGCCCGCTTCTATTGCCTATATAAACATAAATATCAATAAATATCGGACCAATCACAGAACTAAATTGTCATTTCTATAAATAACTGACCAATTAGATCGCTCGAACGAGTTTACTGCCGGGGATATTGAAGACGATTGCTTGTAACAGGAGAATGCCTATCCCACTGAAGCTATTCGAGATTTCTGACGTCGTCATGAAAGATGATAACATGGGTTTGCTGATTGGCTGGTTGATTTGATTGGTTGGCTGATTTGATTGGTTGGCTGATTTGATTTGGTTGGCTGATTGATTTGGTTAGTTGATTGATTTGGTTGGTTGATTGATTAGATGGTTGATTGGTTTGTTTAGTTGGTTGATTAGTTGATAGTTTGTGTAATTGGTTGATTGGTTAGTTAATTCGTTAATTGATTTTCGTTTGGTTAGTTGGTTAATTAGTGACTAAATGTATAAACGGTAGATAGATAGATTGAATGATTGATTGATGGGTTGACTGATTGATTGAACAACTAGTTATCTTTTTATTTTCAGACGTTAGATGTCGTAACGAACGAAGATTGTGCATTGTTTATTGTAACAAGGTTATTATTAGTGAATGGCTAAATGAGTGAACGAATGAATTAGTGAATGAATGAACGAATGAATTAGTGAATGAATGAACGAATGAATGAATGAGTAAACAAATGAGTAATAACACACATCTTTTTTTTCATAGGTTCCTGGTTTTGAAGTAGTTCATGGACTGCTTGACAGAGTTATGCAACTCTTGGGAGTTAAAGATTCTGAATATATGATAGTGCCGTCTGATGGTTGGTGATTTTTATTCACATTTATTAATAATTAGTTAATTAATCAATCAATCAATTAATTAATTAATTCTTTTTATCAATTCTATAATTATTTATACAATATTCGAATTTCTACACGTACAAATTTGAAAATTCATCAAAAAATTATTAACCCATTATAAAGCAACAACTCTATTTCTAATATATAAATCTATAAAAATAAATATAACTAATTAAAGCTATAATTATAGTCATAATTAACTATTGCAGATGAAACCTTCTTCCCCGGCCGCTGTGCAGAGGTCAGGGTCAAGGGTCACCCAATAGGAAAGCTTGGAGTTTTGCACCCGGAGGTCATCACAAAATTTGAACTTAACCTGCCCTGTTCAACACTGGAAATTAACATAGAGCCATTCCTGTGAGAAATTTTTTATGAGGGCCCATTTGTTGGTGAATATTAAGGGGTCTATCGCATGAATATTTATTAGGGGCCCGTTTTAGATCTTATAAATATTTATGAACTGTTTGTTAGTGTTATAGGAGGCGTGACTAAAGTCAATTTTGAATATGCAAGGTTCTGTTAGTGACGATAATGCTGATGAATTGTTTATGAATTTTAATGTCACGGTAAATTCAGTTGATGAGATTTGGTTACTGCTTTCGTTTACAAATACCGTTAATTAACATAATAATAATAATTATTATTATTATTGGTACATTAGCTATTTCGTTAATGATATAGATTGAAAGGGAACCACATACAGAAAATCCGCATTTCATGTGTATAATGGAACACATGTATAATGGAAATTAACTAGCATTTCCCCTCCAAAAAGCACATACATACATACATACATACATACATACATACACGTACATACACAAACAAACAAACATACGCACACGTATCTCAAAATATAGGACACCATCTGTCACAGTGAATTATGATACATATGCAGTTGTTTAAAATGCATGCCAAATAGTCTCATGCCAATATATATATATATATCATTTATATATATATATATATATAATATACATCTATGATATATATATATATTGAGTGAAGACAGACTTTTTTCAACTGACTCAACTGACATAATGTTTATTGCCACTTCAACAATAATGAACACAAATATCCATGCACATATATATTATATATGCTGGTTGAAGATCGAATTATCGACAATATGTAATAATTCCACAGGTTTATTAGTTTTTATCAACTTGTATTCGAATTTTTCAATTTGCCTTAGTAAAAAAATCTGTGGAATTTATTACATATTGTATATATATATATATATATTACATATATATATTATATATATATATATGTACATACAAACATAATACTTAGAAAATGGTCGATAATAAGTAAAATACTTAGCAGTGACGGAATTCCTTAAAGTAAATAATAGTTTTAAAAATAATTTAATAAGTAACAACAAATAACATCTCCATGACATGAAAAATGACGTCAAAAATTAGTCAGATAAGTTAAAAAGATGAATGTGTGTGTGTGCGTGCGTGTACATGTTGTACAAGTACACACACACGCACACGCACACGCACAAAAGTAGCAAAGTCAGGTTATATAAAAAACTGACAATGTATACATGCATGCATGTACAAAATGTGAACAACAAAATTTCATTGACTGATGGAACTTAAATTTATAATTTCTCCAGACATAAATATATAACATTTTAACATATAAATAATTATTATTACAATTTCTACAAAAATTTTTTAAACATTCAATCCCATTTTATCATCAACATCGCATATCTCTGCCTAATTTACCTAATTTTTGTGCTTATTTTCTTAAAATTCCTTGTGAAAAACGTACCGGCAACCAATCAATCTATAAATCTTTCTTTAATTAATAGTTTTTTTATGTTTATTAGCTAAGAATTTCTCATGAGATAAGTCCCCAGCTAACAGACCAATCAATCCATTCCCTGATCACAGTTCTTCGTGCTTATTAGTGAAGAATTCCTCGTGGGAGATGTAGCCATCTTTATCAATGTCTTCATTCTGAAAGATGTCAGCCACAACGCTGTTGTGTTCGGAGTCAGACGTCTCTATGTTCGCTCCTGACTGAATTTCCTGCATCCTTATGAAGGCAGATACCTTTTGGAGATGATTTTGATTAGTTAGTTGATTGGTTGATTGAATGAACGTGATTGGCGGGTTGACAGGTTGTAATTAGTAAGTTGGATACTTCATTGGTTGATGGATTTATGGGCTAGTTTGTTGGTAAAATGATTGGATGATGGTGAATATAACTGATTGATTGGTCAAATAGTGGATTGGTTGATTGATCGGTTGGTTAACTTTTATCATCAAAATCATCATTCCAATCATATACATCAATTCACTTCATCTTGAGACAGAAGATTATCTTTGTCTGAGTCAATTTCTTCAAATGTATTGTGTGATGGCTGTACATCTTCTATGCTAAGTAACTCAACATCAAAAATTAGTGTGGACATTGGGGGAATTATAGAACCTTTTTGAGGAATGTATGAATGAGCAAATGGATGAATGAGTAAATTAATGAATGAATGCATGAAGGAAGGAACGTTTAATTGGATGAATAAATGAATTAGTGAACAAATAATAATAATAATATCAATAATAATAATGATAATAATTAAAAAAAAATTAACAACAGGTATGTACAAAATAGTTGATTGGATTGACGTGATTGGCGGATTGATAGGTTGTGATTAGTAGGCTGGATACTTCATTGGCTGATGGATTTATGGGCTAGTTTGTTGGTAAAATGATTGGATGATGGTGAATATAATCATATAAGAATTAACAATTATATGAATAAATAAATATACACTAATGACCTTTAAACCATATCAAACATCAGCCACAGGTTCACCCAGCATTTACAATTTATATAAAAATGAATTATGGTTGTCAATTTCTATTATTAAAAATACTAAAACTTTGGGTAGCTTTATTACTACTACTCACCATAGCCTTTCTCCCCGTAGGCCAGTTCATGGTTGATGATTAATTTTCTTTTTTCACCAACGCACATCCCTAACAATCCTTCGTCCCATCCTTTTATCACTCGGCCAACTCCTAACTCAAAACTGAATGGCTGGTTGCTGCCATAACTGTATTGTAAGCAATTATGTGATCCATGATAATAAATAATGTAATATGCAATAAAAATAAACATTTTGTAAAAGTAATGTGATTATATGCAATTCTTATGCAATTGCCAATTAGTAATTAGTGTACATGGGAATAGTAGTTATGTTAAGAAAGCACTGTAACTGTTACCTAGAATCAAACTTGACACCATTTTCTAAAAATCCGGAATAATGTAACTTTAGAAAATCATTATTCTTTGTTACCCTTTCACACGTCTCTGGCCGTTCAATGATCTTGATCACTAATTTTTCACTTCTATTTTCATTTTCCGTTGTGATTGTCTCTTCATCACATGATATCACCCGGAAAAATATCAAAAAACAGAACAGGAATACCTCCAATAAATTTGCCATCATTTGATAATTTAATGATAATTAATGATTAGTGATCAATCGGTAATTTTTGAATTGTAAATATTTAGAAGAAAATGATTCTTATCTTTATTTCTGCTTTTTAAAGCTTTAAAAATTTTAAATTTCACAATTTTTTTTTAAATTTTATTAAAATAAAACGCAAAATTTGCTTTGAAAATAGCTTTTTTGCAGTCAGCAAGTCAAATTTTTAGATAGGACTAACTAATTTTAGCCACCTAAATACACGTCATAAGTTAGGGGCGCTAAAAAACAGATGTTTGAATGAAATTTTGAATGAAATTAACATGCAACGTAAGTTAAGGCCGAGCAGCGAATGATTTATTATCGACCGCATAGTGCAAAGACGTTAAAATCGATCAATGGTCAATGATGATGATGATACAATTTTCGGGAAGGCACACAGACATACAAACATAATATATAAATATATATATATATATATCATGGATATATATCTATGATATATAAATATATACGTTTACTATATTGTTTTGTATATGAAATTTATATACTAATTTTATATATATATATATATTTATATGAATACACACATTCATATATATCAACTATTCACATACATTTGTGAATACATATTTCAAGCATATCATTTGTAGTATATCAAAAAATGATCACAAATGCTATAAAAAGCATTCAACTCTTCAAACTTTCTAATGCCTTATAATTTGATAAAGCCATAATGTTCCTATTATTGCAAGCAAATTCAGCATCTCAATTCAAATTCAAATCCACCATCTTATTCATTCTAAGTTGCTTTCAAACAATTAGTTTTAATTTAATTTAGCTCATTAACCCATTAAATTTTCAATCATATTTACTTTATTTACATTTTTATTTATTTATGGATCGCATTTGATAATATAAATCAAAATTATAATTGATCAATGTAACAAAACAAAAACACTTCAGAGAATTTTATTCATATCTATTTTACAGACATACATCTACATTAGGTAGATGGATTAATAGATAGATGGATCTAATAGAAAACATATTTCAACTGTACAGAAATTTGGCTCAAAAAATAAAAAAAAGTACCTAAAATATTATTATGAATAATTATATTATAAATAAATGAACGATTATATAGCATTATTAAAAACCAATTTAATCGTAATAATATTATTTAACGTTGCTAAGAAATGCTAAGAAATATGAGAGTTTGATTGATTGATTTTAAGTTGAAAATTTCAGCCTGCAACAATGAAATGAGCAAAAAAAGTCAATACTACTACTACTGATAATAATAAAATTAATAATAATAATAACATTATTAATAATAATGAATTGAAATAAAAATATAACTATAAAAAGTTGAAAAAAATACATCGCATTATTATAATAAACTTAACCCTCAAAAACTACCAGTATTGTCACCCAACAAAATTCCTATTTATTAATTCATAATAAATATATAAATAAACAAATAAATAATAATAAATAATAGAAAAAGAATCTCGATGCTTATGGTTTAAAGCAAAACCAGTCAACAACACTTCATGTTATCCTAAATAATTTTTTTAAACAAAAGCCCCCAAAAAAATATGAACAGGTATAAATAGTCCAAAAGATGACAATGACGTTGTATTGGCGTAATATTATATATATACATGTAATAAAAATATATATATATATATTTATATATATATATACATATAATAAAAATAAAAATACTATTGATAAAGTAATAATAATAATAAGAGTAATAATAATGGCAATAATTTTATTGATATTGTCCTTGTGTGTTTGTCGGAAGATCAGCATTGGCTGTCGGTATAGATTGATGGTTGGCTGAGTGGAGGAATAATTATTATTTCATTATTATTATAATATTCATTTATTATATTATATAAATTATTATAAATATTTTGTAACTTTTTTATCATTATTTGCTATTATTAATTACCAACAAATGATTGAAATGATTGCAAAAAAAATTAAACAAATACATGTTTGTATGTTTATGTATGTTTGTGTATATATATATATATATATATGTGTGTGTGTGTGTGTGTGTACGTGTGAACGGATGCCTACATACCCATTTTAAACTGGTCAGCTGTAGTTCTTGTGATTATGATACCTATACCCTCAATTAATGCTAGCAATACACCGCCTGGAATGGAAAAATTATAATTTTTCTTAATTAAAATATTTTTATAATATATATTAATATAATTATAGTGATAATAAAAAAATTATAATTAATAATATTTGAAAAATTGTTATTTTAATTAATTTTAATTTAAATTAAATGAAAATCTAAAAACTGCAAACCTATGACTGCAGAGCCTGCCATCGCTGCGGCTCCATCTGTTGTGGTGGAAAATTATTATATATTCAAATTTGAACAGAGGGAAAAAATGGACAGAAGAAAAAAAGGAGCAAGCAAGAGAGAAAAAGTGAGAGAGAGAGTGAGTTTGAGACAACGAAAGAATGAAATTGAGAAGCAAGAGAGAGAGATTATAAAGATGATAAAAAAAACTAAAAAAAGAGAGCAAGAGAGAGATTTAAAAAATGAATGAAAATGAGTGAGAGAGAGAGAGAGAAATGATAAAGAACAGACAATAGATTATAAATAAAGATGACACAAAGAATGAATGTTGGAAATGAGAGTAAGAGAAAAAATTATAAACAAAGATGATTTTTCCTAATTTCAATAGGGAAAAAAACAAACTTCTGACAGACAGGATGGCCCCAGTCAGGGCCCCACTTGTGATGGAATTCCATGGGTCTTCCTTCTTCCTCATGTAGACCATGGTGCAGTCGATAGCTGAAAATAAACCGCCCCAGACAGCAAAATTCCCTGTTTGGGCATTGGCATGGGTATAAAATTTTTTTATGTTTATGATAATTATTATTATAGTCATTATTAACAAAAAAAAACAATAATATTTTTTTAATGTTGCTATTATTACCGCCGGTTATGGGTGCTCTTTCTCTGACTGCTAGCAAACTGCCCATTAGTCGTCTGTAGTTACCCTAATTAGTGAAAATAACAATAATAACAGGAATATTAATAATCAAATAATTAATAAGATCTTATTAACATAATAAAACTATTTAAATAATAAAACTTACACTTGGAGCATTGCGAAAGCCTTTGATTGAATGAAAGACTGAGCCACCAATTGCACCCATTGCAAAAGCGCCTCCACAGTCATCTATTATTCGCCAAGGACTGTTTTATTGATTAGGCAGGGAAGTTAGTGAACAATTTTTTTAAATTTGATAATCAAATACTGAAAATAGTATGTCTTAAAAATCGATTGATTTAAAATGCCTATCCTTTCAAAGAATGAAAGAACATTATTAAATTATTGTAAATTTATGTGATTATTATTTATTGTTCTTTGCTATAAATTCTTTTTTCAAGGACATCGCGATATTACGAATTAAGTCTTAATTTGTAAACAAAAAGTTAGTTTGTTGAAGTTGGAAGTGTGAAGTTGGCATCACTTGTTGCCAACTTCACACATGAGGCAACAGAACACAATTGTAACTTAATTCGTCCTTGTCCTTGAAAAAAGAATTTATAGCAAAGAACAATAAATAATAATCACATAAACAATAGCTGGTGAAAAAGGGTTTTTCAACATTATTGAAAAAAATTTGAAGTTGCCGTATAGTTTCATGGTTTATTTAAATTAAATAATGAAATAATAAATAAATAAATGATGATAAAGTTGATAATAAAATCAAAATTTAAAAAAATTTAAAAAAATCAAAAATAAACGAAATCTAAAAATATGATAAACCTATTTAAGACTTTAATAATTAATCACTAATTTGACGCCTACCATGGTTCACGTGCGTATTCTTCCATACTTTTCGGTCAAATTTTAGCGACTTTTTGTTTACAAATTTACTTAATTCGTAATATCGCTATGTCCTTGAAAAAAGGAAAAAAGAATTTATAGCAAAGAACAATAAATAATAATCACATAAACAATAGCTGGTGAAAAAGGTTTTTTCAACATTATTGAAAAAAATTTGACGTTGCCGTATTGTTTCATGGTTTATTTAAATTAAATAATGAAATAATAAATAAATAAATGATGATAAAGTTGATAATAAATAATCTGAGACGATGTTTCAGACAGAGGGTAAGAAAGTAAGTGTAAAAAGAAAGCTGAACTCCTCTCAATTATTTATCAAAATTATTTTTCTTATTAACTACGTAATAGATTTTATACTTAATTCAATGAAACTTGAAAACGAAACTAGAATATTTCCATTTTTTGAAAAATATGGGAATCCCACACTTGCACTTTCCTCAATAACAATATTTATCGGTCATGTTGTGTGTGGTGTATGTACGTAAAGTGAATGAATACTTTATTATTTAGTGATTCTATCAAAAGTTTGTTACGGAATTATTATAATTTAATAATATTTCTAATGATTTCTATTCTTGTAGTAATAATTGTAGAGGTAGTAATATTTAATATGTTTTAGTTAGTTAATAGTACTCTGAGTGTCTTACCCAAAAATGTTTAAGAGAGGTCCGAAGTTTAAAAAAATTGATATTTTCCAGCAATTTTTACTGTTCTAAAAGTTTATTACTATTGTCAGTAAAAGTAGCATGTCTTGCGTGCACGGTGACCTGGTTCGAATACACAGTTATGTCGATACCCAAATTGAAAGACTTATCGTACGCGCGTGCAGGTCTTGTGGTTTGGGTGAATGTGGGGTGTGTATGTACGCTTTTTCGTGTGGTATAGTGTGGATGTCGTGTGATGTGGATATTGCAGCCTTTGTTGCATGCAAGTATATAGCTTTAACTAGAGAATTTTTTTCTTCTAATGTTTAGGCATAACAAAAATGCGGGAAAGAGGTTGTAAAAGTATGACATCAAATTTTTTATAAAGATTTAGAAATACTTAACCTTTAACAACCAACAAAAAGGTGTATTTGCTAACCCCACTCCCGTTTGGCCACACCAGGGTGGCAATCATTAAATAATTATTTTACTTCAATCTATTATAGAGACAAGCAGATTAACTTTAAAATTTTTTTTAAAGAAACGTTACAAGTGAATCAAAATATTTTAAAATGGCCTATTCATACGTTCAGAGTAGTGAAAACAACGACTATGATAATAGCGCTAATAATCTGATGAAATACATCTCGGAGAAGATGTTAAAAGTAGAAAATAACTCAATTCATTCAATTCATTCGGAGAAATTGAGTGAACTGCTGTCACTTAAACGGACATTCACAAACTCATTCTTAATAATCTGTTCTTCCGAAGTTGTATGGGAAAACTATAAGAAAAGTAAATTTTTAACTGTGAGTTATTTCACTGAAGATTTAGTACAAACTTTAAAAAAATCGTCTGACAATAGTGTCCCATTTGTTATTTGCTATTTAAAACCGCCAGACAATATTTTTTATCGAATTGCCTACGTTGAGAACAATTCTTCAGAGTTTAATAGTGAATTATTGGAAATAATTTGGTTTGGAGATGAAAAAATTATAAAACGTAAAAGTATTTTCGACAAACTTTTTGGCAGTTCAGCTTATTGTTTTACAGAACTGGATGATGTTTCGATTTTTTGCGACTTTTTCGATGATTTCATTTCAGAGGTTAGAAATTAATTTTAAATGTTAAATCACCACCATGGAATTATATAATATATAATTCAATGATCACCACTCTTCCATGAAGCTCCAAGCTAATTAACTTAGTTTATTAGTTATCATAATATAATTAATTTAATATATCAGTTTCTATATTTATGAATGAATTTTATTACGTATGATAAATTTTTTAGCATTTTTTAACAGTTCAGTCAATTCTTATCAAATTTCAAATCAATATTAAATAACGAGACTATTAATGAGAGTGATATTAAAGAAACTCTTGATAAAGATAGAAGTAGAATAAAAATACTATTCCACGTGCTGGCTGGTTTTGCAAAAGTGTTAAAGATATCTCAAACTGTCCCAGAAAAACCTGGAAATCATTGCCAACAGCAAACTTTGCTATCTAGTTTCACTGTCGATTTAAATGAAATAATGCGAAGTTTGCCCGATTTTTATTCTATAACTTTCGAAACTGGCAGAAATTTTTTTTTCAAAATTATGGCAAGTTGCGAGGGTCTAATTGATAAAAAAAAGAATTTTGGTTTTCTTGTTTTAATTCATGAACAGTATTATCATGTGTTATTAAATATTGCTAAATGTTATAATATATTGTCTGCTTACGAGATTTTAGTTAAGCTTCTTCTATATACAGAGCACATTGAGAAGTGAAACATGTAAACATGATTACATTTGGTGTTCGAACGACCTATCTGGATATCATCGGCAATCCATTAAATACTTCACGTTTAAATTTTCATGGAAAGAAATTTGCATCTTAAATAAACCAGAACTCATCCCAACGAATAAACGTTATTCAGATAATTTACGCATTGATTCAAATGAAAAGGTAAGACATTCTACTTTGAGGTTTTACGCGTTTTTAACATAAATTTAACAAAATTCACATACAAAACACCGCAGGCCATTATATTTTACTTGGCAAATAACACAGAAGGTGTATATTTTCTGTATGGGATAGCAGTTTTGGTTGAAGTGTTGGATCATCTGCTGAAAGTTGATTGGTTGTATTTGAATAAAAAGGGAGTTTCCTTGGACATCAGTGAGAACGACGATGACACCGAAGATTTTATTATTAAGAGAGGCTCTGCTATATTTAGACATCTGGCTGAGACATCGGATGTATGTTTTTTTTTCGTTTAGAATACGCATTTATATTTGAATCCAAATTTGAATTGAACTTTATTTGTTTTGTGCTTGTGAAGGAATTTGAAAATGTTTGCAGTAAGATCAAATGGGATTTTTATGAATTTAAATTTACACATTTCCTTCTAAAATAGTGTGAATTTTTTATTGAATAAATCAGGCCTTGATGAAATTGGAACAAGCAAGAAGCAAACCATCTAAACAGTTCTACATCTACATAGCTGAAAACAGTGACCTAACGAAAGTAATGAATGAGGACTATATTTCTCACACTATTGATGCTAGCCAAACAGACCTAGTCTTTTTCGCTAATGGCCACACACAGTCGATACGCGGCTTAGCTGAAATGAAACCATTTGGATCAAGTGGATTTTTAAGGATTTGGGTCTCACAAATTGAATTTAATTTGGGAAATTTGATAAATTCAATCAAACCAAAAGATGATTGGATTGTCTTTAAAAGAGGACATGAAGTTTTCAAGGAATATATTGAATTCGTTAAAAGTTATCGCGGTAAGTTGCAACAGGTAGTTTTGACAACTTTTTCTGAAACATCTAAAAAAGGCTGAATTTCAAATAAATAATATTTGATGAAATTTTTTAAAGATTTCGGAGCAGCCAACTTCGCTGGAAACCTTCCAAAATACGGTAGATATGTTTTTTTCTATTGTGTATGGGCAAAATAATTAACTGGAATATTAAAAATATTTTTAAAAGGTTCCAGGCAAACCGTCTCCATTGAAAAATTTGGGAAATACGGTTAGCAGAACTGGAAGAGAATGGCTATTTCCTTTTAACATTATTATTATTTAATATAAATAGTAATAAATTAACTATTTAACATTGGAAGTGCTACGTGAATGCGATCTTACAATGCCTTAAAGTCTGCTTCACTTCTAATATCTTCAGCGAAATTGACAAATGCCTTCCAGCAGATGAAAACTCCGTAGTTGATCGTAATATCTTTAATATTTAATTATTTCTATTTTATCTGCATTTAATACTAATAATTAAAAAAATTAATTATTACAAATAAAATAGTTAGGAAATTAATTGAGCGTAATTAATTTTTTTCAGATTTTTTTGACATTATATATCGCATGGGTCAGGATGAGGAGTTGATATTGGATGCCACCGACCTAGTTAATGCAGTTTTTCAGTCCTGTCAGAATAAATTCCAAGTTTTCAGGTTAAAATACAAAGATGTACACACAAATACACACACACGCACACACATACGTAAGACACACACTCACAAACACACACATACACACAAGCCTATTTTTTTAAAGTTTGGTATGTTATCAGGGGTACAGCAATATATAAGGTTGATTTAATTTTTTTTATAAATTTTGTAAAGCAGACAAGAAGACGCATTGGGATTTCTAATGTACATTCTGAACTCTATCAAAGATAAACTGTAATTCATTCATTCATTCAGTCAATTTTTTTAATTTTGTATTTCTTCCCTTTTCTATTTCAAAATCAAATCTTGATTTTATTAATTTATTTTATTGCACATAATTCACACGCTACAGAGAGAAACTTGATAACAAAAAAATCACTGGTTCGTTTATAATCAATTATTCAATTAATTAATTAACTAATGAATTAATTAACTAATTAATTGACTGATCAGCAAAAGTTAATATGACACTAAACTTTTTCTATCGAAAGTAGTTTTTTATCATAAAGTTGACGGTGCAATTGTTAAGATGTCCACGTACAGTCTTGCTCTTGCAATGTGTGCAAAGCATGGGATTCACACGTTCTTAATACCTCTAAGAATTATATAAGAAAGAATTAATAATAATAATTTTGGTATTATTTTAATTATTTATATTTTTTATTTAACAGAAATGTTCTATGGAGAATTGGAAACTGTAGTAAAATGCGTGGCTGGTGTCGACCACCACGACAAGTTCTCGCAACCATTTTCTATACTTCTGCTACCGATGAGAGATAAAGAGAAGGACTTATGTGTACGGGTTTTATTTTACGCCGTATTTATATTATTTTCAGAAAATTAATTTTTAAATTCATAGTATTCATTCTTAATTTTTTAAAAATTTAAATATCTCAAGTCGTTCATTCAGGAAACTAAATTTGATAGAGATTTTGTAGCATCTTTCAAAAATTTCATCTTCTGTTGCACTCTGCAAGGTTGTTTAGACGAATTTTTGAAAGAATGTTCAGAAAATGAGGTTTTTTTTTGTACAAAAAAATCATTTTCTTTTCAAAAACCATTATTTTTATTAAAATGACTTTAGTTTTCAAAAAATCATTCCTTCCGAGCAAACGCTGACAGCAATAGAATAGTAACACGTAACGTACTGTATTTTTAAAAAAATTACAGCAAACGACGAACTAAAATGTATAACAAAGGCGATAGGCGATGATTGAAGTGTCTGACAATGCAGTTGCATGTGTTTTGTGTGCATGGTTGTATGCATCCATGGTTGTATGTTTGATGCGTGAATTTCCGTGTACCTACCTACATACATTAAATTAGGCTACTATAATTCCAATTTCAACATTTTGTTCATTAATTTATTTTAAACCTTAAATTTTGAATAAAAAATATGTACCTATATTAGCTATTTAATTTTAGATTCTCTGCAAAAAATGCGAAGGCCTTTCCAAAGGAAAGCTAGAAGTCCAACTATCTAAAGGAAAGCTAAGAGTCCAACTATCTAAACTACCGCCATACCTTATAATAAGTAATTCAGTAATTTGTACTAGTTTCTCTAAGTAGTAGCAATTAGTACCATAGTAGTAATTACTTTAAACTGGTAATCTAATTGTGTAATTAGAAATGCTTTCTTTAACTTTGCTATTATTCTAATTCGTGTTGTAATTTAATTATTATCTCCTGAAATACCTATTCAATCTTTCAAAATGCCTGTTTGATCTTTAGAAATATTAAAAATATTTAGTTAATCTTTCAAAATTCTTATTTAATCTTTCAAAATTCGTATTTTTTCTTCAAAAAACCTATTTTAAACAAAGAAAGATATTAATTTTCCATTAAAATCTTTAAACGTGACAATTTTATAGGCGTGAATAGATACAGCTTTCAGAAAAATAAGAAAATCAGTCGCGAACTTAGATTCCCTGTTAACAATTTTCAACTGCCACTAGTCGATGGTAAGGAAAAAACATTCTTTTACATTTCAAATTTTTTGAGTTTAAATAATTCAATTGATTAAAATTAATAAACAATGCTAATTGTAGCAAAAATGAAATAAGATTGTAAAACATTCCAAAATTCTCAATAATTCTACTTCTAACTCTTCTACTCTTACTTTTGGGGTACCTCAGGATTCTCTCCGTGGCCCTCTCCTATTTGTATTGTATACTTCTCAACTACCTCGTATTATTAATAATTTTTCTTTCACTAGTCAACTATATGTTAAGGATTCTTATATTTATACTTCTTTTCCTCCATCTAATCTCAATAGTGTTCTTCATAATCTATCTTTATGACTTTTTTCAATTATCACTCGGTCTGGCTTTATGTGTCTTAAACTTAATCCTTCTAAATTTGAATTAATTTGTTTTAATAAATCTAAACACTCTAGTACTATTCCTCCTATCATCTTACCTGGTTCTAAAACTCTTGATGTTTCTCATAAGTTTCGTAGTCTAAGCTTCATCTTTGATTCTAGCATGTCTCTTTCTTCTCAGATTAATAGTGTTGCTAGAAGTTCTTACTTTCATCTACGTAGAATAAAAAACTTTTGCCTTTTCTTGACGATCCTACTCTTCTCCTTCTTGTTACTTCTTTAGTCTTATCTAGGATTGGTTATTGTATCTCGTTCTACTATGGTCTTCTTGATTCTACACTCTATCCTTTAAGTAAAGCTTTTAACTCTGCTGCTCGTCTAGTTGCTCGTGTCCCTCTCTTTTCTCATATATCTCCATATCTTGTTCTCTTGCACTGAATACCTATAAAATATATAGAATAATTTTTAAAATTTGCACATATATGTAAAATTCTCAATCTAAATGATTTCCTAAGTACTTATAAGATATATTAATTGAGCCTAAACGATCGTCTTCTTGTTCTCATTTCTTCTTAACTCGTGTTAGACACTCTTTTGCTAAATCTGCATTTGCTTTTTCTGGCCCTTTTCTCTGGAATTCTCTACCTCCTTCTCTGACTACTTCTCCATCACTTATGAAGTTCAAATGGGTCTCAAGACCCATCTGTTTGCAAAATTCATTGAGGAACGCTGTTGAACATCGCGGAAACAGCGCTTTATAAACTAATTGATTGATTGTCTCAACACAGCTTCTATGGCACATATGAGTGCGGTTTCAAATATGTTTGCCGAAAAAACATTACAAAAATAACATTACATTACACTGTTTACATTACACGAAAATAATTAAAAGAAAATAATAATAATAACATCATTATTATTAAAAGGTTCAACTAAACTCTACCGTCTGATAGCGTACTGCGTGCATATTGGCTCAACAATACATTCTGGACATTATGTGGCATATGTTAGGAGTCTTGGTAACCAGTGGTTTGAATGCGACGACTCCATGTAAGTTATAGTAGTCAATTTATTGTTTTACACACAAACACACACATATGACTATTTTTTTTATTCTTCATAAAGTAGATTTGAAAATCGGGAAGGATATTTTCTTATATATTCTCCACTTAACTCCAGCTTTGCAATTGAAATTGTGTGCATCCTAAAAAATGCAAAACTCACCCCTTCTCATGTGACGATCGTCTTCTTGTTCTCACTGCTTCTTAACTCGTGTTAAACACTCTTTTGCTAAATCTGCATTTGCTTTTTCTGGCCCTTTTTTCTGGGACTCTACAGCATTCAAACCAGGTAAACTCGCAACAACTAGGCTAAATACGGCGTTTTTGCCGTCTGAGCTACCAGCTAACCTAACAAAATTTTACATAGAATTTAATCAAAGAAACATATCTCAATGCTCCCACTATCGCAATACGAATAAATAAATTAAAATTAATTATATTAAAAATTTAAAAAAAATCAGAAGATCCGAGCATAGCGTAAAAGAAGACCACATAAGGTCAGAAAACGTGTGCCTTCTCTTCTATAAGTCATCAGACAGTGAGGTTTGATAGCAAGGTGGAGATGTGCGTGTGAAATTGATGAATGACATATCCATGTGAATGACGCATCTAACATATCTAAGGAAAGTCAAGAGGACAATAATTTTCATATAATAAGTTTTAATACATTTATAATAATTGTTATACAATAATTTTTAATATATTTATAATAATTTTTACTTAATAACGATAGTCATTGACTATTTTTTTTTAATATTTTGTTTAAAAATGATGTTGTAGAGAAAAACCGAGCCATCAATATAGATAAACATGGCAGTTTTATCGATTCTTATTTGAAAAGACGCTAATCACATAAACCAGCCCACGTGCAAACACATCTAATACTAAAGTTTGATATGAAACAAACGAACGAACGAACGAACGAATGAATAAATAGATTAGGAAAATTGACTTATCAACGTAATTAACAAAGATTCTTTTTACAACAAACAGAAACAACATACATAAGCAAACTTTTTTTTAACAACTCTCTTCTCTCTCTCTCTCTCTATATATATATGTGTGTGTGTGTGTGTGTGTGTTGGGGTAACTATACATGCATGCAGTATGTATACATGTAAATATGCTTGTATATGTAAGCATGTATGTATGTGTTTGTATGTATGTTTGAATGTTTGTAAGGCATTGTATCAAGCATAGACACAACTTAATTAAAGGAAATTGTGTCGACTGTCTTTTATTACATTCCAAAATTAAATCTCAACACATTCACGCGTTTTTTATTCGTTCATTCAATCATACAAATAAATAAATATATATATATATATGTATATATATATGTATATATATATATATATATATATATATATATATATATATATATATATATAATCAACGGTTGATTAATTAGAAGCAACTGCAGTTGGTGTTGTATTCCTGTTTGGAAAAAAAATTAAATAAATAGTTAAAAAAGTTTAAATAGAACTGAACTGAATAAAAGTAAACTCGATTAAAGTAGTAAAAGTGCATAAATAGATGAGAGATTGGGGGCGAGGGTGATTAACATAAGAAATTATTTAGGATGAGGAAACAAATCGTATCAAGAAAAATAAATTAAACCTATCAATCTCAAGACAAACAAACATGTATACATTCATACATACGTACGAACAAGCAAACAAACAAAAAAATAAACAAACAAATTAAAGAACGAACAAACAAAAGAAGGAGCGAAAATATTTACTTTCCACTACCACTTTCTATCTCCTTAGTATATGCATTAATTTTTTTCTTTTGCCTATCGTCATCGTCGTCGTCGCTGACCTCACCAGGCGATCTATCTTTAGAATTTCTATTTTTAGAACCTCTATTCGAGGAATTTCTAATTTTAGAATCGCTATTTTTGGAATTTCTATTGATAGCCTCATCACCATTATTGTTGCAGCTCCCTTTTCTATCACGCTCATCCTTATTATCTCTGCCATCATCGCTGTCAATCATGTTCGTGGATGTTTTGCCGCGTGGACCACCACCCCTCCGCCTATCTCTCCCCCCCCTCGACCTTGAACGTGACCTTGACCTAGAACGTGACCTTGACATTGGTGATCTATTTCTCTGGGATCTGATTGGCGACCTGGTTTTTTTTATGGGTTAAAAAATTTTTGAAAGAAAAATTTATAATTGATAACACGTTTGAATGACTGAACGAATGACTGAATGAACGAACGAATGACTGAACGAATGAGTGAAAACAAAATGAAAAAAATCTATTTACATTCAAATTCAAAATTAGTTTTTGACAACAGTCAAATAATGGAAGCAATAAATAACGAAAGTTATACCAATAACGGATATAACAATGATAGAAAGAGAGAAAAACAAACAAATAAACGAATGAATGAAAGAAAGAAAAATTTATTAAAGAAAATGAAAGAAAAAAAATTTGTATACCTTTCTGCTTTGCCATTTGTTCAACAAAACCATCAATATATTTTTCAAAACCACCCCAACAACAATATCATCCACCAAAAATACTCTCATCATCATATTTATAATCTTTTTCCTTTTCCTCCTTTTTCCTCCTCATCACCATCACCATCATTATTATCACTAGCATCAATATTATCATCATTATGATAAAAGTTAATATTATATCAATTATAACAATAATAAATAATATTAATAATGATAATTTCGAAAATTATGGTCAATTCATGTTAAAATAAAGAGAAAGATAATTAAATTCTTAGGCAGTAGTTAAGCTATTAGCAACAACAATAATAATAACAATAATAATAATACGTTTAAAAATTATAAAGTAATAATAATAATTATTATCATGAAATATGGTATTAATTAAATACAAAATGGAAATGAATAAATAACTGGAAACCATTCATTTATTAATTGCATCAACATTAACTTGACTAGTTTAACCTTACTTAACAAAATTTAAAAAACAGATTAAAAGCGCAATTATATATAAAAATTAATGAGATTAATTAACGGTGGATTATTCGGAAGATTAAAATAAACAAAGATACCTAACTAAATAATTAAATTAATTAGAGAAATACTACCTAGACCAGCGCCTCCGTGAAGGGGGTGACCTTGTAAACCTACCCCTATTACATTCCCTTGCAAAATGTCCTCTAGCCCCACACTGATAACATCTGTTAGTATTATTATTAATTTTAATAAATTATGATTATTTATGAAAATAATATCAACAATAACAATATTACTTTACAAACCTAAGGTCAGTTTGCCCCATTCGACCACCAAACGACCTCATTCTTCTATCTTGAATTCTTGGCAGAGCGTAACTTACTCGTAATCTTTTGTTTCCCAGTGTGCTATATTTAGATTTTAAAAATGTAAGACATGTTTCAAAATGTTTCTTGTTGATTCTAATACAAATATAAGTTACTAATAGATCCTTCAGTACTGAAATGATAATTTTATCTAGTGTTCTTTAAGTATTTTTGGCCAAATTTGTTAATAACTAAATTATTAAATTCAAAAACAAAAATGCAAATGACAAAGTGGAAATTGAAAAAAATCCATATTTACTGTCCGTTTAGAGCATCAACAGCATCTGTGGCATCTTTTCTATTTTCAAAAACAACGAACCCAAAACAAGGAAAACTTTTGGCCACCCAAACTTCAATGAGGGGTCCAAACTTTTCGAAAGCTTTCTCAATATCTCTAGCCGACAAATCCGGATCCACGTCCGCCAAATGCAATCTCGTCCCTCTACTACGACTTCCACTACGGCTTCTACTTATACTTCTCTTGTTATTTCGATTAGGACTGACACTACGACTTTTAGGAGTTAGAGCACTTTTACTTCTGCTCATACTGGCACTACTTGATCTATTTCGCCGACCCATTTTATCTAAACTAAATGAATATATGAATATACTTATTATTTTGTGATAAATAAACTTATCTTCTCCAAAAAAAGAAATTTATTTTAATTTCGGAAACTCAAAACTATCTATCGCCGTTATTAAACTGGTAACCAACACACATTAGAAATTGCACATAGTAGTGTGAAAAGGCGATCGAAATTGAATTTTAAATTCATTCAAGTTATGTTTTTAGAATTAAATTTATAAATTTAAAAAAATATTATTTATTTATTACAAATAAAAACAAAAAAGAGAATGAGTCTTCAGGAAATGTTTAAAAACATATATTGAATAAAACAACTTTTATGTAAATTTAATACTAACGTTTACTTTTAAAATGTTATAAAGTGTGTGTCTGCCTAAACTTCCGTTTAGTTTACGGATCACGGAAGTTCCCTGATTTAAATTTTTGATCATTATTTTCAAGGGATTCGCCGACCAATCATTCGTTCAAAATGATTTTATTAGAGATTAACAACAAAATTATTGAAGATACGCTTTCTTTAAAGTTCGCTAATGCAGCGGCTGGGTAATTCATTCTTATAATTCTCGCCCCTATTTTATTTTTTATTTCCTGGTAAATTAATTAAACTGTTATTTTTAGTTAAAATAAATATAAAATAATTAATTTTTGATCATTAAGTTAAAAAAACTATATATTATTTTATTTCAACAGAGTAAAGCATGAGTTAATTGAAGTGACAATTGCTGGTTTGAAATTTTATTTAAATTTGCAAATTTTGCTTTGCTTAATTTTCAAAATCACTTATTATTTTAACTACTAAACATTTTAGTTTCATAATAGTTTTTATTTTTCCAACAGCATTTGGTTATATAAGTACATGCATACAATTCAATTTAACTAATGTAATGTAGTGTAATAATAATAATTCATAATAAAATTGTATTTATTAATAATAAAATGAATAAAATATCTGCATAATTAAAATATTATAATTATTTCACTGTATATAACTGTTTTAGATTTTGATGGGGTGCTCTATCACATCTCTAATCCAAATGATGACAAATCAAAAATTATGGTCAGTAATATATATATTTCATAATAATGTTTTTTATCCAGTTCTTTGTTATAATCATTTTAATTATAATAAATGAATATATTTATTAGTGATAATATATATATTTATAATTATGCCAATTGTAATAAAATGATACAAAGAAAAATAATAATGGTGATAATTATTTTATTATATATGATAGAACACTTTATTATTCTGCCAATAATTTTCATTGTACTGCAGGTCTCTATATCCTTGAAGTTTTATAAAGATCTGCAAGAGCATGGGGCTGATGATTTGATTAAGAGAGAATATGGACAACTACTGACGACTAATGAGAAAGGTTATGCTAATACTTTGTTTTTTTATCTATGTTTATTTATCTATGTTTATTTGTTTGTTTATACCTGTGTTTGTTTGCTTGTTTATGTATGTGTTTGTCTCTTTAGTTTGTTATGATTATGGCCTAAAATTTACGCACACATGTGTACTACATACATACATACATACACACATACATGTACACACACACACACACATAAACATACAGGCTATAATGTCTCAATCCTGTTTGACTTGAACAACCTTCCAGCCAATAAGGAAGAGGCGATTAAGAAGGCCGGCCTACTCAAGAGGAATTGTTTTGCCTCCGTCTTTGAGAAGTACTTCGAGTACCAACAGAAAGAACAGAACAGCCAGAAAAGGGCTGTTATTAATTACAGGGACGATGAGACTATGTTAGTGATGATGGGGCTGGGGATTATCCTGTCAATCAATCAATTATTCAATCAACCAAACAGTTTTTAAACTAATTTAATATTAATTACTCATCTAACTAACCAATTAATTAGTCAATTAATTAACAAATAATTTAACCAAATCCATAACAAACCGACTGACTTTAATCAACCAGCCACTAAACAACCGATAAATCAGGTACGTCGAGGCAAAGAAAGATAGGGTAACAGTAATCTTCAGTACTGTTTTCAGGGACGTGGATGACGTCATAATTGGCAAGGTCTTCATGCAAGAGTTCAAAGAGGGCAGGAGGCAGTATCAACAGGCCCCTCAGGTCTTCTTCCTGTTGCATTTTGTTGTGCTGTGCTGTGATGCATTGTATTCTGAGTGGCGTCTGATTGAATGAATGTATGAATGGATGGATGAATAGATTGATGAATGAATTGATGGAATAAATGAATAGATGGATGAACAAATGAAAATGGATGAAAGATTGGGTGGATGTGTTGTATTGTTTATCTGTTGTATTTTTTTTTTTGTATGAATGAATGAATGACTGATTGAATGAATGAATGACTTGCTGAATGAATGAATATACGTGTTATTATTATCCTAATTTATCCATTATAGGTGTTATTCAACCACAAAGAACCACCATTGGAGCTGCAGAACACGTCTGCAAAAACAGGAGATAACATTGGATATATAACGTTTGGTAGGTTGCTGTTGAATGAATGAAGGAATGAATGAATGAATGAGTGAGTGAAAGAATGAATTAATGAGTGAATACAACTCAACACAAGTGCTTGAGTGAGTGACTTAATGGAAGAGTGAATTAGTTAATGATTTAATTAATGAATGAATTGATTGATTGATTGCTTAGTATTGTTTCCCCGACACACGAGTCTGGCAGCCAGAGACAACACCATAAACTTGATCCATACACTCCGCAATTATCTCCACTATCACATTAAATGTTCTAAGGTTTGTTATTCATTCACTCAATCATCCGTTCACTCATTCATTCATTCATCCATCCGACCATTCATCCATTAATCGTTCATTCGTTCACAGGCGTATATCCATGCTATGATGAGGGCCAAGACCAACGACTTCTTGAAAGTTCTAAACAGGGCACGACCCGAACCGAAAACCGTCGAGAAGAAAATAATTGGGTCGGTCCATTTTTTTTCTCGATTTATAATTGGCTACCGCTGTTAAATAGGTCAAATTGCGGCTTTATTTCAATAGATTAGACCATAATCTTCTCTATCGAATTGGTCAAGTTATGGTGTTTGCTTGTTTTATAGATCATGTTTTGATCATTTCATGTTAAATAACCAATCACATTATATTTGTTCTTTAATTAAGTCAAGTTGTTACCTATTTTCGTTAAATATAGGTCAAGTTTCGACCTATTTTTATATGAAATTATGATTTATTTCTGGGTAAAATTATGATATTGTATAAATAAAAATATAGGTCAATATCATTTTATTATGATAACAGTAATTAATAAATTTTTCTTTTCAGTGGAAAGTCATTCAAACCGTCAAACAATTGATGGAGAGAGAGAGGTGAGAAAATAAGAGAGAGAGAGAGAGAGAGAGAGAGAGAGAGAGAGAGAGAGAGAGAGAGAGAGAGAGAGAGAGATGCAGAGGGAAAGAGGGAGAACGAAAAACATTATTATTATTTTATTGATAAATAATAATATTAATTGATTATTATTTTCATTTTTGTCGAAATTGTTATATATTATGCTACTTAAAATTCCATTTTATTTGTTCTCAAAGACGTCATTATTATTATTTTATGTTATTATTATTACTGTTATCAATTTTTATTTATTTTTATGAATTAATTTTAATCAAATATAATTATTAATTATATATAATCCATTAAAGTGGCTGGACTTGAAAATATATAATAAAATTGTCGTTATGGCGAATGTGTTTCTATCTCGAGGCAAAATATATTGCGTTGTTTTGTATTTTTTGCACGCACACATAGAAACACACACACATACAATACATACACAATCGCTTACAGTCTTAACAACAGTGCTAACCGAACTAAAATGACGTCAACGAAAATTCCATGCGCAACTTTCTGATTGGCTAATAAGATTTGAGCCAAACCAATAAAAACAGTCTAATGCTGCTTCACTTTGCAGATTGAATAATTCTTTTGACTCTATCAATAAAAAAATTGCAAAAAAATGTTGAGGTGTGCATTTGACATCCGCATCCAACATATCATCATTACTGTTACATAAAATTTTGTTAACAGTTTGCCATTTATCCTTTGGATTGCTAGTGGTCTTAATTAAATTGTTCCAGTGCCCAATGCGCTTGTCTGAATAGAGTTTATGTTTACCTTTCAAAGAATCTAACCAATTATTACGGTGTAAGTTTGACAAATATTTCCTATTTTTCGACATTTGCGATTAGCTCGTTAAAACTCCCCATCAAACCAAGGTGCAGCGCATTAACTCTTTTCATAAATCAACCGTAGTGGCACACACCTGTCGACAATACTTTTTATTTCATCATTGAACTTGGTCATTCCTCTTCAACGTCTTCACTTCGGCATGGACCTTATACAGGAGAATTCATCACTGCCTGAATGAACTGATCATCATTGAGGCACTTACGTATATATACATATGCACTAGACTGAAATTTGAAGTTCTTTCATATTTTAAGATATTTAAAATTTTTTAAAACCATCAATGATGGTGCTATCATATGTAGTTTGTTAATTGAACATCAGATGTTAGACTTTTTAGGTAGAACATTAAGAAATTCATTTACTCAATCTATAATAATCTTCAAGTGCATATTTTAAATTTTTTGACGGTTGAAATTTAACCATGAAAATTACAGAAAACCTAAAAAAAACAATTACATTATTTTTTAACAATAATTATCATTCAAACTCTCTTAATTTTGATAAAAGATATGATTACCGGTGTAATTACCGACATTAGAGTGATGTAACGTAATAAATACTTAGCCAATTGTTTTTGCCAGTCCTGATCTCGAATAAAAAAAAATGATTTTTTAATGTGTAAAAATATTTTTATTTATCAAGAAAGTGACTAATTGGTGAATGAATTCTTTAAATTATATTTATTCCAATTTGAAAGTGATACAATTTGACTAAATAAACTTAAATTCGTAATTTGAACTTTCTAATTTTTATTTAAATTAAATTAATTCATAATTTAATAGTTGTCTGTGTTTTGTCCTCAGTGTTTTGATTATTTCCCATTCTTCACTAACTGCAAAAAAAAGCTAAAAACTTTTCATAGAAATTAACTTTTTACGCACGAGATAAAGACATTTTTCACAAGTACTGCTTATTTCACTTACAGGTTAGCTCTAAGTTTCATGATTTCTTTAATTTCCAACATTTGTTTGTGTTTTTTTTATGTATTTTATAGTTTTTTTACTAAATGTTAAATCTATGAATTAACAACTTATTCTTATATTATATAAAAGAGGAAAATGGTAGAATGGCTATTTTACCTAAGCATTTTAATTTTAACCATATTCGTAAAAAAAAGTAATTTTATTAATAAAAAATGAATGAATAAAGATAGCCATTTCATATTTCACACTGCAGATGTTTTCATCCAGTTCGAATCCTAATTGGAATTCTGATAATAATCAGGTTCCTGCCGTCTCTTCGCATGGATTGAAGCAGATTAGTCTGGAGCAAATGTGGGAGGATTTGAAATCAGGCATTGATGATGTCTACCAGAGGAGATATATGAATAAGATAAGATATGTGGAGCTCTATACGTATCCTTTGTGGTTCTTTAGGATTTGAAATATTTAGGATTGGAAATGTATTGTCTGTGTTTGTCTCTATCTATTTGTTTGTCTGACTGTCTGTCAGTTTAGCTTTCTATTTTTAAAAAGTGAATTGAAATGTTTCTGTGGTTTTTTTTTCCTTTTTGTCTGTCTGTTTGTATGTTTAGCTTCTTAAGTGCAGTGAATTGAAGTGAATCGTCTGCTTCTATATTTATTTGTTTGTCTGTCTGTCTATCTGTTAGTCTAGTTTTTTCTTATGTAAAGTGGTTTGAAATGTAACCATTTATTTTTCAAGCCTTGTCTAGTCAGTCATTTGTCTAGTCTTTCTTCCTATTACTGTGTAATTTCTCATATAAATTTGTTATTTTTCAATTTTCTCATGTTTGTCTATGTTAATATTAAAAAATACAAATTAATCAGTCAACATTTAATCTGCCTCCTGTAATATTCAACAATATTTATTCAGTCAAAGTGTAAATATATGTTTTATTTTCTTTCACCTAACAACTAATAAAATATATATTTAAAAAATCTGTGAAATTATGGAATTAGGCACGTCTATAACTACTGCACTAATGTGAACCAAGGTACTACTAATCACCACAACACCCGGCTGACCACGAACACTCGGAATAAAAAAAATCAAAACACCTCACCGGGAGCTCAGTTCGTCGGGTTTGAACTCTATAGAAAGCTAAAGGAATTTTTGAAAAATTATTTAGCTAATCTTTTAAAGGTTTTTGGGTTTTTTTTTTGTTAATTTTTGTTTTTATTTGGTGGATGTTAGTTATAAAATAATAAATTAAGAGTAAAAATAATAAAAAAATAATGCTTAAATCTGAAAATAAATTTTGGAAACTGATAACTGATAAAACATCAGTCACGTGCAAAAAATTACATCAATTTCAACCACAATATCACATCAATGACACAACAACATTAATTAACAACAGTATCACATCAATAACCGCAAACAAATTTGCAATCACATTGACACTAACCACAACTCAACAACAGCAACACAAACAACAACTCAACAACAACAACAACACCGGCAATACTAACAACACCCTGTAACTGATCAGGATGGCCAAGAACTGATGAATGAGAATGTTCTAGAGTTTTACACCAAGCAATGGGAGAACTATCAGTTCTCGAGTAAAGTTTTAAACGGCGTCTGTAGCTACCTTAACAGACACTGGGTCAAAAGGGAGTGTGACGAGGGGAAGAAAAACATTTACGAGATTTACTCTGTTAGGAATTAGTGATGTTTAGGAATGATAATGATGATGGGGATGATGATGATGGGGATGATGATGGGGATGATGGAGATAAAGATGGTGATGATGTTGATAGTACAGTTGTGGTAAAATGATCTCGTCATAATCACTTAGACAACGTCACCAACATTCACATCATCATCATCATCACAGTTGCATTACCATCATTACCACAATTACAACATCATCACCACGACAAATGACGTCGTCGTTGTCGCTACCATCGTTACCACAATGTCGTCACCACCGTCGCCACAAAACAGCTGGCCCTTGTAACGTGGCGCGACAACCTCTTTCACGAGTTGAACCACCAAGTGACAAATGCAGTCCTACGCTTGATTGAGAGAGAGAGGAAAGGCGAAACTATTAACACCAGTCTTGTCAGTGGGGTTATCAACTGCTATGGTTAGTTGGTTGGTTGGTTGGTTGGTTGGCTGGTTGGTTGGTTAGTTAGTTGGTTGGTTGGTGGTTGGTTGGTTAGTTGGTTGGTTAGTTAGTTAGTTAGTTAGTTAGTTAGTTAGTTAGTTAGTTAGTCGGGAAGGTGAATTTGTTTGGCTGGCTGGTTTTGGTCGGTCGGTTGGTTGGGAAGGATTATGATTGGTTGAGTCTCAAATTGGTTTTCATAATGTTAATGGTACATTCTTATCCACTTTACAAACGCAATTAGTTACTTTTTCCAAGATTTCTTGTGATTTGTTACAGTTATAAATTTATCACCAACTTCACTGACCCACCCAGTCGAGTTAGGGCTGAACGAAGAGGACCCAGCCATGAGGGGTCCTACGTTGGGGGTGTACAAGTCGTCCTTCGAGAGTAACTTCCTCGAGGATACGAAGAGTTTCTACTCGAGGGAAAGTTCAGAATTCCTCAGGCAGAACTCCGTTACTGAGTATATGAAGAAGGTCTCCTCATTATCATCATGATTATCGTCACTAGCCCCCATCATCATCATCATCACTACCCTCGTCATCCTCCTACTTCTCCTTATCATCATCGTCATCATCATCATCATCGTCATCATCATCGTCGTCGTCATCATCATCACCAGGCTGAGGCCCGACTGCAAGAGGAATACCGAAGAGTGCGCGTGTACTTACACGACAGTACACAGGAGCAGCTGATCAAAGTATGCGAGAATGTACTCATCGAGAAGCACTTGGAGATATTTCAGTCCGAGTTTCAAACTCTGCTCGATAACGATAGGAATGATGGTCAGCTGCTGCTGCTGTTGTTGTTTGTTGTCGTTGCTAGTTTGTTTGTGTGTGTGTGTTGTGTGTGTATGTGTGTGTGTGTATGAATTTGTCTGTTTGCGTGTACGTATGTGTGTGTGTGACATGTTTGTACGTACGTATGTTTGTTTGTGTGTGTCCGTATGTACGTACGTATCTGTGTGTGTATGTTTGTTTGTTTTTGTGTGTGTCTGTGTGTATGTATGTACGTGTGTGTTTATGCTTGTTTGTTTGTTGTGTTAGTTTCTGGTTTCGCTTCGTTGTTTCAAAGTAAACGAACGAAAACCTCTTAAAACAATTAAACGAACGAAAACCTCTTAAAACAATTGCATACACACACACTCACACATACACACACACATACACACACATACATACAAAATACATTTATATATACGCATGAACTCACACACACTCACATACACACTCACATACATAAATTTTAATGAAACTACTGTACAGAGTTTTTTTGCGCACATACATATACATACAAACAAACAAACAAACAGACAGACAATAGACACGCACACACCTACATACACACACACACTCGCACATACACACACACACGCACATACACACGCACACAAACACAGATCTAGCGCGTATGTATCAGCTAGTCTCACACGTAAGCAATGAAGGATTTGCCAAGCTTAAAGTCTCCCTCGAAAACCACATCACCAACCAAGGTCTAACTGCTATTGAAAAAACTAAAGATGTTGCAATTAACGTTAGTAGGCTTGTGCTTGTACGTGTGTCTGTGTATGCATGCGTGTGTGTGTGTGTTGTACATGTGTGTGTGTGTGTGTGTGCGTGTGTGTGTGTGTGTGTGTGTGTGGTTAAATTTTTAAATTTTGTAGTGTTGGAGGTTGAATATGTGCTCCTAGAAATATAAGCGGAGTTAAACTATTTATCTACTTATTTGTTCATTCATTTATTTATTCATCCACACGTTCGTTTATTTACTCATTCGTTCGTTCATTCGTTCATTCATTCATTCATTCATTCATTCATTCACTTGTTTCAGGACCCAAAGACATACGTGCAGACGATTCTTGAAATCCACAAAAGGTACAACGCTTTAGTTATAGTCGCATTCAATAGTGATTCAGGATTCGTCGAAGCTCTCGATAAGGTGACTGGTTGGTCGGTTGATTGGTTGGTTGATTGGTTGGTTGGTTGATTGATTGGTTGGTTTGTTTGTTGATTGATTGGTTTGTTGGTTGGTTGATTGATTGATTTATTGGTTGGTTGGATGGTCATTTTGTTTTGATTGAGAAAATTTATGCATCCATTAACTCGTTTTGTTCGTTCATTCATTTGTTTATTCGTTATTTTTTCATCCTTTAATTCATTCATTCTTCATTCATTCATTCATTCGTTCATTCATTCATTCATTCGTTCATTCATTCATTCATTCAATCAATCAATCAATCACCCAATCAGGCTTGTAGAAAGTTCATCAACAACAATTCTGTTACAAAGTCAGCCAACATGTCCAGCAAATCCCCAGAGCTCCTGGCTAGGTTGATAATGATATGGTGATGACGATGATGATGACGATGATGATGATGATGATGAGGAAGACGATGACTATGATGATGGGGACGATGATGATGACGATGGTTTTTTTTCAGGTACTGCGATTTGCTGCTGAAAAAAAGTTCCAAAAACCCTGAAGAAGCTGAACTAGAAGATACATTGAATCAAGTGGTTGGTTGTTGAATGAACGAATGAATGAAAGAATATACGAATGAATGAATGAATGTACGAATGAATGAATGAATGAATGACAAATAGTTCAACTGGATTATTTATTTACGTGGTTTTTTATTTCTTTCAACATGTTTTCACTTAACGATTGAAGGAATGATTAATTGATCGTTTTATTGATTGAATGAATGAACGAACGAATGAATGAATGAATGAACGAATGAATGAATGAATAAATGAATGAACGAACAAACGAATGAATAAATAAATAAATGAAATTTTACCCTAACCAATAGATGATCGTGTTTAAATACATTGAAGATAAAGATGTTTTCCAGAAATTTTATAGCAAAATGCTTGCCAAAAGGTTCACTTTGAATGAACAAATGAATGATTGAATGAATGAATGATTGAATGAATGATTGAATGAATGATTGAATGAATGAATGAATGAATGAATGAACAAACAATTAATGAAATTAAGAAGAAAATGTATGTCAATAGCTAAAAATTTTGATCGTTTCACGAACTTAATATTTTTATCATTCCATGAAGGATGTATAAATGAATGAATGAATGAATGAATGAATGAATGAATGAATGAATGAATGAATGAATGAATGAATGAATGAATGAATGAATGAATGAATGAATGAACGAATGAATGATTTCTAGTACAACAATGACAACAAAGCATCAACAATAATCACAGTAACAATAACATCAGTTACAACAATAACAACAACATCAACAGATTAGTCCAACACATGTCTACGTCAGACGACGCTGAAGCCAGCATGATTTCAAAACTTAAGGTTTATTTAGGGTTCCTTTGTTGCTGTTGTTGCGGCTCCTTTGTTGTGGTTCTTTTAAGATTCCTTTGTTGCCGATCTTTTGTTGCTGATCTTTTGTTGTTTTTTTGTGGTTGTTGTTGTTGATGATGTTTATGTCGTTTGCTGTCTCCATTAGCCAAAATCAACATCATGAACAAACACAACAAGCAACACAACAAACAACATCAGCCCAACAAACATGAAGAAACAACACGACAACAACATCAGCCCAACAGACAACATCAGCCCAACAAACATCAACAAACAACACATCAGACGTCAACAACAAACAACAACACAAACAACAACAGACAAACAACAAACAACGCAACAAACAACAACAACAACATCAACAACAACAACAAACAACTACAGCAAGCCTGTGGCTATGAATACACGTCTAAGCTGCAGCGAATGTATCAGGACATTGGTGTCAGTAAGGACCTGAATGAGAGCTTCAGACAACATTTGGAGAGTAATAACGAGTCGTTGGATAGTTAGTGAGATGAATAAATGAATGAGTGAATGAATGAGTGAATGAATTAGTGAATGAATGGATGTATGAATAGATGAACGATTGAGTAAAAGTATGAATGAGTGAATGAATTGGTGTCAGGGAAGATTGAAAGGAAAGCCTCAAACGACATATGAAGCACTTACACGTACACACACACACACACGCACGCACACAAATTCAGTTGACCTCTTCATCCAAGTATTGAGCAGTGGCTCCTGGCCATTCCAGCAGTCAACGCTTTTTTCTCTTCCTCTTGAGGTATTGCAGGGGTCTTGCTGTTTGCTGGTGTTGATGTCACGTGGTGTTGATGTCACGTGCTGTTTGATGTCACGTGCTGTTGATGTCACGTGCTGTTGATGTCACGTGTTGTTTATGTCTTTGTTGTTGCAGTGTGATGTCTCGTTATATTGTTTATTGTCGTTGTTTTGTAAGATTGTTTATGTTGTTGTTGTTATTTACGTGATGTGTTGTTTATCTTGTTGCAATCACGTGGTGTTTTTTTTTGTTGCAATCACGTGATGTTTACGTTTGTTGCAATCACGTGATGTTTATGCCGAACGCAGCTTGAACGAAGCCATCTTAGATTCGCAGCTTTCTACAGTAGCAGGCACAATGGTCGCAAACTCTTCTGGCTCTACAACATGTCCAAAGGAGAATTAGCTGCTAACTGCTTTCAGCAGAAACACATTCTGCAGGTTGGTGCTTCTGCTTACTGCTGCTGCTACTGGTGGTTGTGGTGGTGGTGATGATGATGGTGTTGGCTATGATGATGATGATGATGAGGATGATGACGATATAAGGAACGACAGTGATAATAACAATTAAGATTTCAATGATGATTGCCTCGATGATGATGACGGTAATAACGATTATGATTCGATTGATAATACTGATGATGACGATGATGATGATAATGACGATGATGATGATTGCAGGCATCCACCTTTCAAATGTCCGTACTCCTGCAATTCAACCAGTCATTCAGCTACACCGTCCAACAACTGCATGAGAATACGCAAATTGAAATGGTGGTGATGATGATTGTGATGATGGCGGTGATGATTGTGATGATGGCGGTGATGGTGATTGTAATGATAATGATTGTGATTATGGTAATTTTTATTGTCAAAGTTTTAACGAGGATATTGCTTCTCATCAGTTATATAACCATTTCACTAATCATAATCATAATCCGTCATTCTAATCAACGTCATCATCATTATCGGCACCACAAACATCATCATCATCATCATCATCACAAACACAATCATCATCATCATCACAAACGCCATCGTCATCATCACCACATCATCATCATCATCATCACAAACACCAACATCATCATCATCATCACCACCAGGACATCTTACAACCAGTCCTTCAAATCCTCCTCAAAACCAAACTGGTTTCGTGTAGCAATGCTGAAAGCAGCAGCAGCAGTGGAAGCGCTGCTAACAGCAGCGGTTTAGCTGCTAGTAGCGGTAGTGGTTTAGCTGCTAATGGCGTCGACAACTCAGTACAGCTACTACCACCTACGGCTGTTATATCTCTACAGCTGGATTATAAAAAGTTTGCATTGAATTAATATTCATTCGTTCGTTCATTCATTCATTCATTCGTTCGTTCGTTCGTTCGTTCATTTATTTATTTATTTATTCATTCATTCATTCATTTATTTATTACGATTATGATCACAATCGTCATCATCGCAATCATTATCATAAATCACAACATCGTTATCACCATCATCATCATCGTCATCGTCGTAACCTTATCACGTGACACCCAGTAAAAAGTTCAAGGTGAACATCAACGTTCCAATGAAAGCTGAGACGCGCCAGGAGCAGGAAGAGACGCACAAGAACATCGAAGAAGACCGCAAACTCGTCATCCAGGTCACATGACGTTTGTTTATGTATTCGTCACGTGACATACAAACAAACCTACGAACAAACTTACATACCCACAAACATACACACGAACAAACATACAAACAAACAACAAACATTCAAACAAACAAAACAACGAACATACAAACGTACATACATACATACAGGCCGCCATTGTCCGAATCATGAAGATGAGGAAGAGATTGAAGCATCAGCAGCTATTGGTCGAAGTACTCAACCAACTGTCTCAGAGGTTCTGCCCCAAAGTGCCAATCATCAAAGTCCGTGGATTGATCGAATGAATGAATGAATGGATGGATGGATGAATGAATGATTGGATAGATGAATGAATGAATGAATGGGTGGATAGATGAATTTCCATGAGCGAATAGAAATATTGTATCGTATTGTATTGACTGAGTGGACGAATGTGAATTAATAGATGAATGAACGAATGAATGAACGAATAGATGAAGAAATGAATGAATTACTGATTAAATGAGTAAAAGTAATCAAGTAAATTAATGAGGAACAAAATTTCTTCAGAAATGCATAGACATACTGATCGAGAAGGAATACCTCGAGAGAGCCGATGGCCAGAAAGACGTCTACGACTATCTGGCCTAATCACTATTCATAAATTATTCATAACATTAACTATGCATAAATTAATATTAATGTAGGCCTGAATTTTGAATAAATTTTATTACTGTAATGCAGGCCTAAATTAACGTTAATATGCATATGCTTATATTATGAATAAATCGATACATTTTTTTTTAGATTTTTTTTTTTAATAATTAAAATGCTGAATTTTGAGTAAAATCATAACTCTATTAAGAATAACTTGATGATGATAATTTGAATAACAATAATAATAATATTAATCTTTATTATTATTGTTGTTATTATTATTAATATTATTATTATTTTTCAACGCAAACATTTTACAAAACATTCGTTAGAGTTTTTGTATGCCTGCTCTTCCTAATAGCCATGATGATAACGGTGATCAAATATAAAGAACGATTTAAAACGATAATAATATTATTTTTGTTATTATTATTATTGGTGATGATGAGAATGATGATAGTTATGATTCTACTTGTGATAACATGCAGGACACACGCGCACGCACGCACACACACACACACACACACACACATATATATAATATACAATGGATATATAGCTTTAATCGCCAGATAATCTGTTGTAAAGAAGTTTCAACAATTGTTAAAATATATATAGAAATGATAATTTTCTTTTTTCATTGTTATTATTTGTATTTTTCGTTTCGAATAATATTCACTTATGTTATTATTATTATTTTTCAGATTCATTTTTATCAATTTGAGGATAAAAATGTATAAATGAAAGTTTAAGACCTTTTTGTAAAGGTGATGCACACGATAATATGGTAATAAGTTTTATTACACAAACATTTACACACACACACACACATTTCACACACACATTTTCACACACACGCACGCGCGCGTGTATATATGTATTTCACAATGGGAGTTTTTTTTGCTTATGTTGTTTGGCAATGAATGATGTCGTTCGTTTGTTCTGACGGTTGTATTACGTAATAATAATTGAAAATTACAATATAATAATTATTATTAATTATAATTTAAAAATTATAATAATATTATTATTAATTATAATAATAAATAATATCAAAAACGAAAGTGAAACTGGTGTTAATTTTTTTAGTAAAGTTTGCGTATTAGTTTTATATTTATATGCTATTATTATAATATTTCTTATGTGATTTTAATCAATTTTCGCCAATTATTTCTGTTTAATATCGTCATTGTATAATTTATAGTTATTATTAAGTTTGTTATTATTACATTTGGATTGGATTTTAACGTTACAATTTTTCAGTTTGAAGAAAATTTCATTAAGTTTTTTTCCCAATAAAATCACACGCAACACTAATTTATAAGGCTTCTCTTTTGTGGTGTAATCTGCTACCATATTCTGGTATACCATATTCTGACCTGTTCACACCTCCGCCATTTGCAATGCATTGTTACGATGCATGGATTCATCTTCATTCACATGCACTTGAAGAAAATCAATTAAAGTCATGGATGTCTATGATTAAGGTGCAACAATTAAGTGTGTGATGCGCCGTGTACGATGTATGCCGGTTGTTAAAGAGTATTATATACGTTTTTTAACCATATTGTAGTCTTCATTAAGGGTAATTTATAATAAAGTTAACTAATTTAATTGAAAAAATTATGTATCATAATCTGATACTGTCATTGCTTTAAATTTATCATTATTCTAACCTTTCAACTTCAGAAGCTATCTATTAAAAAAACTTTACTTTTAAATATTTAACGTACACTTAAGTTAACTTTTCGTTTTGCACACATTTATTTTATTTCAAGAGTGATCATTTTCATGATAAGTTTATGTTTTATTTCAATAGAAATATTCTTTTTATATTTATTTGTAAAAATAATAATAAACTACGATTTTACATAATAATAATAAAATCATGATAAAATCCATTCTCATAATGATAATCAAACTAAACTTTAAAAAACTTTAAAAGACTTTTTTAGTTTAATTTACTTTAGTGGTCTACTCTAGTTTAATTTAATTTAATTAACAGTTTTAAAATTTAAAGACAAGTGGTTCTGAAGATTAGAGTCTTAAATTAAAAGTTTTATTTCACAAAAACACAAAAATAAAATAGTATTAGTACTTATTATATAAGTGGCTAGGGTAATAACTTATTTAATATAAAATAAATTTTCAATTTAAATATGGAAAAGTTTGATAAACTAAGAGTTGTTGGCAGAGGAGCTTATGGGTTCATTGTTTTTTTTTTTTACATTCAATCTCAAATTTTGCCTGATTGATTGTTTGTTTGTTGATTGGTCAGTTGTATGATTGGATGGTTGATCAGTTGGTTGATTAACTGATTGACGTGACCTTTTGTTTATTTGGTTGACTTGTTGAAGTCTGTTAACAACACTTCAACAGTAATAAATAAACTTAATTTTTTTTTAATAATTAAATTACTTAATTTCTTCATTTACTTATCAATCATTTATTCATTTATCCCTTAATTTATTTATTTGTATACCTATACATTCATTCATTCATCCATTCATTTATACATTCATACATTTATATTGCCTTGACAAGCTAACAAACTCATCATTGATTATAACAACTGCCATTTAAAACCTAACTTCAATGCCATAGAATATATAACTGAATTTCCATCTAATCATTAAAAAATAATTTTCATGGTTTTCCATAATTTTTAACTAACATTAATCTCTAACTAATCCTAATGAAACTAACAGCACAGTGTATCTATGCAGAAGACTGGCAGATAAAAAGTTAGTGATAATAAAGCAAATCCCTGTTGAACAGATGACCAAAGATCA